AAATGAACGGACGATGGTAACGAACAGACAAACGAGCGAGCGAACGAACGACCGGCTTCTCGCGTGAACTTCCTTCTCTTCAACCTCCTCGCCTACTCTCCGGAATCCCTCCTTGAGCTCTTGTGGGTTGGCCGGAAATGCACAAAGGGAAGTGGGAAAGGAGAGGATGTGTGTGGGAGTTACAAAATGTGAGGGAGGTGAAGAAAATGAAGAGGAAGTTTATATATATAATGATGGTGGAGTAATGAGTGTTAATGGTGAATTAAAATGGGGAAAATGAATGGTGAGGGAAGGTGTAGTGGCGTGAGCTTAATATTGGGGAGTTACCTCCCTAAATTCGTTCCGTCGTGTAAAATCTGACCTGAGCGGTACGCGGTTTTCCCTAAACGGGTCCAAATTGAGATCCGTTTGCGTTCTCGGAATCAGACAGTCAAAACGAATTTAATGACATGTTCAAATAATTTTTCTAAGAACTTTATTTTCAAACTTCTGGATCCATCCCAATCATTAATTAATTTATTTAATTAATGTTGAGAGGTCCGTTATTAAACATCTTTTTATATTTAAAAACACATTAACTTTTGAAGTCCATCTAATGAGATCAAAATCTCAATATCTATTATTAAAAATAATGAGTCTCAATAAATTATAATATTTATTTATTCAAAATATTGTCTAGCTATTAGGCCGGTTTGTAGGGCGTTACAATTATCTCCCCATTAAAGGAATTTCGTACCCGAAATTCTCTCCAAGTCGCACCTCACGTGTTTAGGGAAATAGTGCGTTACCCAAGACTTTGTTTTGTGAAGCATACGAGGGCATAATAGATTAGAGACCAATTGACGGATTTCATTCAAGGAACATATTTGGTTGAGACAACGCTTGACACGCTTCCGGTACTAATGGTACTCATCTAACAATCGAAAAGTATCATAATGGGATCAAGTGAGCGCATAACACAGTTAATTTGATGCTTCATTGTGCATTCACGTGCTCAGGCACTCCTATGTGGATCTACCTATCCGTCATTGCCTACTGCTTGGCTCATTCTCTATAAGAAGAGCTTAAATCAGAACTAATTACAATATGACATATAAATGATTTAAATAACGGTGTACCTTTCCCTGGAAGTGATGTGATGGGAGATGTGGCTGTGGACTTTTTGAAAATACCTTTTGACCAAGATGACAAAATATGTTTTTTTCTTCACAAAAACCGAACCTCTCTGATACCAAATTGTAACACCCGCCTTCCGTGGACCCGGTTCACCCGCGACCCAACGGACCGGTAGGGTTACATGGGCGGTCCGAGAACCGTCCGTGGCAAAATACATTAATGTTTATTTATTATGAAAACGGATGTGTTTAAATACGGAAATAAATGCTAGGGAGTTACTCCCAAAACTTGTGTGATATAAATGCAGAGTAAAAGCGGAAGTAAATAAATAAGTCCAAAATAAGTAAAACGACACTTGATGGGTTCATGCCCAAATGATTAATTAATTAAATGTATTTAAATATTGAACTCGTCCATGCGCCGCCCATCTTCCCATCATCACTGTCCTCCAGGGCACCTGTAACGTCATGTCTACCTGCGTGTAGCAAAAACAACTACACGCTCAGCAAAAGCTGAGGAGTGAATCTAACAAAATAAAGAACATGAAGTGATAACCCATATGATTATACACATATTAATACCTGTACTTTAACGTACGGAAAACCACATGTTTACTAACTGATTAATTTGCACTAGATGGGAAATTTTACACATAACAAAATGAATAACAACCACATTGAATGTTCGTTGTTGTGACGTGAAACATACATGATGATGACGACCACCTTGAATGTTGACATGACATGGAACACACATGACGATATGACTTGATGCATGACTTAAACTATCAGCGACACCCCTGGCTTAGTCTCACTTGACAGGATCACCCCTGCACTCCGGTAATGAGCCGGGCTCGACGAAAATGTCACAAGTGAACTAGCAAAACCTGGGTGGTAGCCGTAGCCTGACTACCATGTACGTACACAAAGCCCTCATGATGAAAACCCGTTGGATCCCAAAGGTTCCTGGACGGGCCCACTGTAGTAGGCGCACGAAAGCCTGACCTCCCTACAGCAGTATGCACATGACGAGAAACCTAGGACATGCGACTAGGATGGACATGATAAATGCTTGATATATTTACCTTTGGTCAATGCCAAGAATATATCAATTAAATAACATATATAATGAGAATTAACATTTCATGCAAACATACAACCACATTCTGTGTCAATATGGTCAACGGGGCTCGTTCTACCAACTGCCCGGAATTCTGCCCGCGGAACGGTCAACCGTGACCTAGCGGCGGTCGACCGTGGGCTATGGTTTGGGTCTGGGTCTCAAACGGTCCACCGTGGTCTTCCGTCATTGCTAACGGTCGACCGTCCCGGCGGTGACCGCTGGACTGGCCGAGGGTACGGTAGTAACGGTCGACCGTCCCGGTCTGTCCTTGGCTGCGTTTTGATCCATTTTGCAAACTTAACACCTTGATTCTTTTTAGAAAAATAGTGTAAACATTGATGAATATATTCCTAGTGATTCCTAGACCAATATATACGAATTTTACGTAGTAAACATTTTGATGGCTAACCTACGAACATGCATAGATTCTTCGTAGGTTGCGTACGATATTACTATGAATATAACGACATAGATTATAACTAAATGTTCTAGAATTAGAGGGGACAACTACTCACCTCTAAATGATGGGGTTGATGAAACGGAAACGAAATGAACGGACGATGGTAACGAACAGACGAACGAACGAGCGAACGAACGACCGGCTTCTCGCGTGAACTTCCTTCTCTTCCACCTCCTCGCCTACTCTCTGGAATCCCTCCTTGAGCTCTTGTGGGTTGGCCGGAAATGCACAAAGGGAAGAGGGAAAGGAGAGGATGTGAGTGGGAGTTACAAAATGTGAGGGAGGTGAAGAAAATGAAGAGGGAGTTGATATATATAATGATGGTGGAGTAATGAGTGTTAATGGTGAATTAAAATGGGGAAAATGAATGGTGAGGGAAGGTGTAGTGGCGTGAGATTAATATTTGGGACTTACCTCCCTAAATTCGTTCCGTCGTGTAAAATCTGACCTGAGTGGTACGCGGTTTCCCCCCGAACGGGTCCACATTGAGATCCGTTTGCGTTCTCGGAATCAGACAGTCAAAATGAATTTAATGACATGTTCAAATAATTTTTCTAAGAACTTTATTTTCAAACTTCTGGATCCATCCCAATCATTAATTAATTTATTTAATTAATGTTGAGGGGTCCATTATTAAACATCTTTTTATATTTAAAAACACATTAACTTTTGAACTCTATCTAATGAGATCAAAATCTCAATATCTATTATTAAAAATAATGAGTCTCAATAAATTATAATATTTATTTATTCAAGATATTGTCTAGCTATTAGGCCGGTTTGTAGGGCGTTACAAAAATTGTAATGATAATTCATATTATAATATAATCAATATTTTTTATTTAATGATTATTTTTTAATAAAATAAAAATAGTTAATTCATATATTAGAATAATCATTCATATTATAATGTAATAATATTTTTTTTTATGATTTTTTTTGTGAAATTAGAATATTAGTTTAATATTTTAATAATTACTTCATATATACATTAGAATAAATATTTAATTTAGATATACATTAAAAGTAATTAAATTTAGATAATCAATATATAGAAGAGATAGTATTTTTATTAAAATATCTCATCCGTATAAAAGATCAAAACTTTAGAAACTCAAATTACAAGTAGCAATAAAAATATATTTTAAAAGTAGAATTAGATTGACATTGTCAATGTATTTTAAAACTAATTTTTCCGACGTCTAATAATTAAAGATTACTTTTTCAGTTTTCTATTTAACCTATTTCTAAAGTTTATTCTTTTTCATTTTTAAGAACAATAATAATGATGATGATGATGATGATGATGATGATGATGATGATGATTATGATGATGATGATGATGATTATGATGATGATGATGATGATGATGATGATGATGATAATAATAATAATAATAATAATAATAATAATAATAATAATAATAATTCTTGATGGGATCTGATTTTAATAAGTCCTGATCTGATCTGATTGGATCTGATCTGATTCGATCTGATCTGATCTGATCTGATTCGATCTGATCTGATCTGATTTTAATAAGAATAAGAAAAAATAAGAAAAAATAAGTTGAACGGAATGGGGCCTAAAACATGAGTGAGGCCGTGAGGGTAAATTCAATAATGTATACACTATTTGGAAATATTATCCGACGATAGCATTCGAGTATTTTAGTCCACACAATTTGAAAAAAAGTATACACATTGCTTACATAAACATAAACATCACATTTCCAACAAGAACAAAATGACATACATGGGTGAGAGGAAGTACTAAATTGGTTTTAGTGAATTTGGTAATTCACTTTCTAGTGCAAAGTGAACTTGCTTTACTTTAAAGTCAGTAAACAAAAGATCATAAAATCCATAGTACTAAAATTAGTGTGAAAGTCCATTTAATCAAGTGCCAAAAATTAGAATATGCATCAAGACCAAGTAGTTCAATGATGCAAATATAGAAATATTTTTTTTCAAAAATGTGCTACTCTAGCTCTACTCGCCTTTGTTACGAATCTTTTTCAATCAATGAAGGGCTACTAGTTGTGTTAGTGGGCACCTTATTTGATGAAAACTATTTCAACTTTTGGGGAGGCGCGAGGGAAACGCAAAATCTTCCGAGTAATCTTGCGAGTGATGCCCCATCTCTTATAGCCTCCAATAACAAACTTATCACGTGTCGGAAAGCACGAAAGTAACTATTAGCTACATATTTATTTGTATATATTTTAGTGTACTGGCCTGCCCAATAGCTTTAGTTGTAGCCCATGTATCTTTTATATATACTCGTTGTGATTATTGAATGAAGGTAAGCAAGTTTTACACAATTCTACATGGTATCAGAGCCAATTCCCGGGCATAACGAAAAACCCTAGCAGACACAAACCCTAGTTCCATTTTTCCTCTCAGTGCCGTCAATGTCTCTCGCCGGCTCATGTCAGTCATCCCAGTGCCGCCTCACGTTGGAAGTTCCACAGGGCCGCCTCACGTCGGCTACTACACACCGTCTCACGCTGGTGTTCTTCTTCGACAGCCACTGCTCGCCCCTCCTCTCTCTCGTCTAGCCATGACAACCGAGGCAAACAAGAAGGTCAGGTTCATCCACGATCCCATGTCTCTATACTATATTCATCCAGCCGAAAGTGCAGGGAACTCTTTGACAAAACATTTGCTCAAAGGGGATAACTATGATGTATGGAAGAAAACAATTGTCAATGCGTTGGAAGGGCGTAGCCGGGCCGGTTTCTTAACCCCCACGGGTTTTCCCAAACCTAGTGATGAACACGAGCTCGCGGCTTGGAAGGATAATAATTCTATTATTTGTTCCTAGATATGCAATAGCGTTGATGAACACATCCAACCGTCAATTGTTTCTCACAAAGTGGCTCATGAGTTGTGGTTAGATCTGAAAACTCGCTATGGAGGGTCGAACGGTCCTCGTGTTCATCAACTCAAATCTGAACTTCAATCTCTCCAGAAAAAGGGTCAAACCATGGTGGTGTACTACAACCAATTTGTGACTCTATGGAATAAAATGTACGGCTCGACCGAGCCCACGTGCGGTTGCCGTTGTGAAGCGGCCGTCCGTATTAGAGCTCGAGAAGAAGAAGAGAAGACTCACCATTTTTTGCTTGGTCTTGACGATGAACAATTCGGTCACATCTGGTCCCAACTCATAGCTACCAAGGCCGTCCCCGACATTCACCAGGCTTATGTGTTGATTGTTCAAGAAGAACGCCACAAAATCATTGTTCGCGGAAGGGATTATCGGACCGATGTCGTGGCATTTGCAATGCAGCACCCTAGCACACCTCCGGCTCATGGGGACCCTCCTATTTACTCATGTACTCATTGCGGCAAAGATGAACACTCGAAGGAGCGGTGCTTCCAACTGCACGGCTACCCACCCGCGAAGGGTCGTGGCCGCGGGGGAGTTTCAGGCCGCGGCAGTGGCTCTGGCCGAGGGTTCGGCCGTGGGTCTTCCGGCGGCAGTTCGTCAGCCGGCCGAGGAGCAGGCCCGGCGACAGGGGGAGCACATGCCGTAGGGGGGGGGAGGGTCTACCCCAAACAGCCGCTTGGGCCTTACTGCTGATCAAGTCTCTCGTCTCCTATCCATGCTCGACACTTCTTCCTCCGATAAGGGTACCGGCACTGGTTGTGAGACTTCCAACCGTGAGTGGCTCTTAGATAGCGGCGCCTCTCATTATATGACTGGTAATATCTTGTATTTGTCTGATATTGTTCCCATCACGCCATGTGTTATTACCTTGTCTAATGGCTCACACACTACCGCTACCCGATGCGGGTGTGTTCGTCTCTCTCTGGAAGTCTTTCTCCGGGATGTGTTGCTCGTACCAGAACTCAAATGCAATCCCATTTCTGTTGGATGTCTTATTCGGGATAATTCTTGTCTGTTATTTTTAACAAACATTGTTGTGTTATACAGGATTGTGCCACGAAGATGGAGATTGGATGGGGTAGTGCTCACAACGGAGTGTTCCTGTTTCATGCGTCAAGTCTGGGGTTTGCTAGTCAACGGGATCCTATTCTTCTCCACAAGCGTTTGGACCATCCTTCGTCTCAAGTTTTGTCTTCTCTTATCCGTGTTCCCAGTAGTTCCAAACTCAAATTATTACAGTCTTGTGAAATTTTTTTCCAGTCTAAACAAATTTCAAATGCTACCCAAGTCAGGGGTTCGGGCAGTCCTTCTTTGGTCTTTTTGACTTTCCACTAATCATATGCTTCATTTTGAAGTAGAGATATGGCCAGTCGGGCCCATTCTCCTTCTTGAATGAGGTTATCTTCAAAAACACGTTTTGTCTGTTCAATCCGGTGTTGTGCGACTTCTGAAGGTCCCGATTCTCCTCCCTTGTATACCCAGGCACCATTCTTCTTGAGACGATCTAAATTCCAACCTTCTGGACGGACTTGTGTAGCAAGTTGGTTGAGAAATCCCGCCACTTGATTAATTAAGTTATTTCCAACGATATTCTCATTGTTAGTGTTGAGATTGTTATTATTATTTCCTGGGTTTCCACCAACAAAGTTTCCAATGTTTGATGCCTCGGAATCTCCAGACACATGAGGTTGGTTGTTCAAAGCTTCCATTCTAGGATAAATCAAGAGTTATGAAATTACTAACTACCTTACCTCAAAATTTTTCTTGATCGATGTGAGCGGACGTTGTGGAGTGGAACATGGCCATCCTTTGTTTTACTATATTTTTTTTAAAAAAAATGTACAAAAATGTTTGTAAATTTTTTATCACCAAATTTTAAAGTAAATTGTTTTATAGCATACGGTAAAACAATTAAATAAATAATCAATTTTTTTCTTTAAAAAAAATATTATGGCAAAAACAAATGTTACTTTTTTTAAAACTTTTTGTAAGTAAAAAAAAAGGAAAATATATTTGTCATCCATTTTTTTAATAGTAAGTACAAATAAAATTTACTATAACTTTTTTTAAAGAAACAAGTTCTTAGGGGAAAGAAAAAAAATTTGTAAATTTTTTTACTGCAAGTAAAAAGAAAAATACATATTTTTACTTTTTTTTGAAGTAAAAAGGCTAATATGTATACATATATAATAAAAAGTAAAACATTCGACAAGTTTGATTTTTTTCTTATACTCATATGTATCAAAATAGCAAGTTAGAAGACCTTTTTAAAACTTTTGAACACAATGTTTTAAAATGCTATCTATCAATAAAGTGTTAAACAAATAATTTTTTTAAAAAAACAATATTCCAGAAATTAAGGCCTTAAAAATGCTATTCTTTTCTTTTTTTACATTAAATAAAAGAGTAAAATACATTTGTATTTTTTTTACGAATCATAGAAATGATTTACTCTAAAATCTTCTCCATTGTTTTTGAAACATGCATAGTTATGTGTATTTAAATATACCATTCAAAACTGTTTGTCACTAAAGTAGATTTTTTTGTGGAGTGCTAATATATACACATATAGAAAATAAAAATTGGCATATATGATTTTTTTTGAAAATATAGTTATATTTATTAAAATATCAGGTCAGAAGATCATTTTAAAAACTTTTGCTCTGATACCAAAATGTAACACCCTAACTTGAACAGTCTCGTGGACTATTCCAAATTAGAGAGTTAAGAGGAAATATTCTAATTTCTTATAAAAAACATCATATAAACATTTATTAAAAATAGCGGAAACGAGTTTAATACACAAAAAATACTGTATGCACAGTAAAAACAAAAAATACTGTATGCTCAGCATATTTGCTGAGTAGGACAAAATAATATATGACGGAGTCTCATAAAAATATAATTTTTACGAAAATCAATATTTTAGTTTTACGGAATGAATTACCATATATGAAACTACATAGTTATAAGTTAGATAAAAACTTTACAAAAGATTTTTTCCAAACTACTGAGATATGAAATATTCAATTTAACGACATACACCCGGGGTCTCCGATTGTAGCCCTGAGAAATACTGCCTTTTGGGCATCATCCTCGCAACCTTGGCCGTTGGTTCTGTATACGTATACGATGAGCGGTGATAGGGGTCTCCTACCGTTGCTCCGAAATAGAAGTTTACGATGATCTCAAGTTGTTCAAACTTATGATAATATAAAAGTTTGAATACTATCCCTTATAAATCAAATCATTTTTATAAATCAGTATTTTATAATAAGTAAAATTTGTTCCATCTAGGACCTAAACATATGTGTTTTCCCTATATAGGACTTGTATCTTTTTTTTCTTTTTTTAGGAGTAATTTTGGATCGCACGCCCTAAAATGCCCCATACCCACGTTTCCCTATCACCCTTTTCTTAAATGATAATGATTAGTAATTAACTCCACATCCCTATCACTTTAGTAACCGTTACCCTATTTCTTCGCACGCCCATGTTACGTTTCCCTCCTTCACTCATGTTCTCGGCCGCCTCTGGTTTTTTACGTTAGTCTCTTCCTCTCGCCTCCCTCACAGGATGTTTTCTTCATTACTGGTTTCTGTATCAAAGTTTGCAGCGGGTTCATCCACACCTCCGAACATCCACCTTCTCCTGCAATTTGATGGTGAATGGGATGGTAATGGTGTTTTCTCTTACGCATATACTTATGAGATTGACATTCCGATTCAGACCCCATATGAAGACTTGCTGGAACTGATTCGTAATACGGTTCCGTCTTCTTATGAAAGTTCTGTTTTCAAGATCTCGTATATGTCTAATTCATGCTCAAGGCATGTCGTCATTGAAGATGATGTGAGCCTGCTCGCCTACCTTCGTTTGAAGAGCACCTATCCCTCTTTGCGCGAATTCCCTTTGTGCGTTGAATTATGTATTATGTCATTTCACAGAAATGGGCGTGTCTAATGGAGTGTCACTGCCCACTGAAGGTCCGCAGACATTACTAGGTTATCATTTTGAGGTAAACTCAAATACCCAGGAAGAAACTGATTCAGATGGCTCAATGCGTGATGTTATAGGAAACGAAACCACTATCTGCGAAGACAACATCTCATCATGGTGTGATTTGTCTAAAGAGTCATTATTTGTCACCTATCATGTAGATGAGATTTCAACGCATAATGACCATGATGGAGAGTTGGTTTCCTGGAATTCTATTGACTCCAATCTGTCTGCTTATGTGATGTCCCAGCAAGATATTGACTCATTGAAGGAGATGCACGTTACATCTCGGTTCGATCCAACTAGGATTGTCGTTAGTGCCATATACGCTAGCAAAATGGACCTCGATTTTCATTTGAAGATGCTTGTAATTTCCGACTGTTTCCAGTACCAGACCAGAACGTCCAAAAAATCCGAGCTGCATGTTGTGTGTGTGGACTTCCCTTGTTGCCAATGGGCTGTTCGGGCTGTGTGTTTACCCGGCATTGAGATGTTCTAGATTCCACTACAAAATTTCGCTAAATCTGCGATGGAATATTTCTGTCGCAAACCATTAGTTTTGGTCGCAGACTTCAAAATTGCGACAGGTCAGCGACGGAAACAATGTCGCAAAAAAATTGTCGCATTTTAGATATTTGCGACGGAATTTAAACACCGTCGCAGAATTGCGATGGTGTTAGCGATGGTCAAACCAATTTCAAAATCTATGACAGAAACGTTTTTTCGTCGCAATCGGCGACAGTATTTGCGACAACTGATCCATGATTTCTAATGTGGAATTTGCGACGGAATAAATCCGTCGCAAATGCACCAGGTATCAGCAACCTATTCTGCACTAGATTTCAACAACCCAACATCACAATATTACAACAATACAGCATATAAACAACATCATTGAAACATCACAGTAATATTTGAATTCCTTACGAAACACAAATTATTTCTCAATTCATTGTCAATCACAACACAATATTCATTAAAACATAATTCAATCAAATTAATTTTCAATCACAACACTGGTCATAAGTTGTTCATGCGACACAACCAGTTCATGAGCCTCCCATCCCATCATTAGGGTCCCGAGATGTCAGAAGATTTCCACCACACATCATTCGAATTTGTTCAACAACTGTCAACTCAATCTTATCTAACCATGCCTTCATGACTTCGTTCTCCGCTCTCAACCGCTCAATCTCTGAAATATCACTAGTTCTCTTTCTTCTGCTTTGATATATAGGTTTAAGGGGTTTCATTTCTTTGGAAAGATCTCCAACTCCCTTAATCCTATTCTTTTGATCAAAGCCACCAACTAGCTCAAACCAAATCTCTTGATCCGTGACTTGAAGGCCCGATTCCTCAGTCATTTGTTTCAATTGTACAAAATCAGCCTGTATAATGAAATACATAATCAATATATATTAAACACATAGAGTATATGTAATTATCACATTGTGGCTTTGTATTTAAATTTAATTGATAAGAAGTGTGCATAATTCACATTTACCTCAAGTTGTGCATTTTCTGGATCTATCCATGTTTTTCCATCATGTTTCTTCGTCTTGGTGTACTTGAAAGCATCCACCACTGTTACAGGAGCTTCTGAATTTTGAGCCTACAATATAAAAAACATTGTAAGTTCATCAAAAAATGTGTATATAGTTTTAATTCACATATAAATTTAGAAGTGAAAAAAATATTAATATGCATTCATTCATTCATTACTTACCAATCGGGCAAGGTGTTCAGAGAAAGGAATTGACTCTCCAGTATAGGTCCATATAGCTAAGCCTTCATTCCTTCCCTTTCTTCTATTCTTTTTCTTCACTTCAGATTCTTGTTTAAATTCCTTGGAATTCCAAAACTATACATACGTATAAGATGAGGCTTATTAGAAGAAGTTATACATATAGAAATAATAATATTAAGAATTGAAAATAATTACATATTTGGAGTGAAACCAAATCGCACCATATGCTCTATAATGGTTGCATTACTTCCAAACTTTAAATTCTTGCATGACTTACACGGACAACGCATGTTATTCTTTGACCGATAAGCATTGGGATTCGAGGAACAAATATCCACAAATCCAGACATTGTAGCATTAAAATCAACATTGTTTGATCAAAACAAGCACAAATTGAACAATGCAAATAACATATCAACAATTTGAATTCATTCACAACTCAAAAAGTACAAAAAATTACCACCTACGATACCCAAATTTTAAGATAAGTGAAGAAGTTTTTTAATATAAAAACTTTAAAAAAATCCTAGAATCATATCAAATAAAATTTTCCTACAATCATATAAAATAGAAATTTCTTACAATGAAATCAAAATTTCTTATTATAAGCGTATATGATTAACAAAAAATAGAATATAAAAAAGCATATGATAAATTTCTTGGAATAAATTTAATTCACTTTAATTACCAAATTTAACAAAAAATTGTAAAAATAATACAAACTTTAAACACATTACTTTTTTTTAAAAATTTACAGTGAACCAATTCATCATTATCATGCAATTACAAGAAAAAATGTTCAAGGTAAATTTCACACTTCAATTGAGGGGAAAGAAATTAGTGTTAGAGTAAGTGTACCTTGGGTCGGTGGACGGCGGACAGAGTTTGGACAGTAGGCGGGTTGGCGGACGTGGCGGCGTCAGAGGTCGGAGGTCGGAGGTGGAGCTGTAGGCGGTCGCGGCGGAGGGCTTTCCCCTTCTACGTCGTTCGTCTCTGCGAGTCTGCGTCTGGTTGAGAATCAAAGAATTCACGACTTAGAAAATTGACTGTCGACGGAATGAGTTCCGTCGCAAAAACCGTCGCAGGCATTGCTTTAGAAAATTGACCGTCAAATATTTGCGACAAACAACACTTTCTGTCGCAGATCTGCGACGGTTTACCTAATTCCGTCACAAATAATCCCAAAAATTAAATTCACTTGTTTTTGTCGCAGATTCTGTCGCAATGTGTGATAGAAAATTCCCGTAGCAGATATTCCGTCGCAAATTGAACTAAATCTTGTAGTGTTCGTAGGTGCGTACTACTGTTTTTAACATTTAGCAGACAACTTTTTCTATTTCTGGGATTTGGGTTGCTAATATCCATGCCATTTTTCTAGGTCTTTAACTAATGTCATGGTACTGTTTCTTTATTTGTCCAATGGGTATATTTATGGTCTTTAAACAATGGGTATTACTCCTACTATTCTGGTCATTATATTAATGCAGTGCTTAAAGTCTCAAAAACAGGACTATCTGGTCATTCAATAACCAATCTATATATCACACCATAGTGAATTAACTATAATCAAACCGAACACCCCCCATCATTTAGGATTAATGTATAACTTTAAGTGTCCTTTTTCGCTATGCAGGGTATTACCTACTCGCATGGACATTATATGCTTTGTCTGTACATTTTCCAATATTTTCTCGGTCAGTTAATATCTGATACATGGACATTACACTATCTTAGACGTCCATAATGTCCACACTGCATAATGTATAAACTGTTTAATGCATATTATGAATAATGTCTAGAAACCATACTTCTTACCAACCCTATTTTAATTCGGTCATTAATGTCCTACAGGTACAATCATGAACACCAATGCCCTATTGATGTTCGGCAAGGCAAAACACGTCAGGCTACTTATCACATCGTTGTAGAGTTAGTAAAACACAACTTTCGTGATGCAACGACGAAGCCGTATCCTCCAAATTCAATTGTTACTGACATGCGGAGGGAACATTGGATCGCAATGACTTACAAGAAGGCATGGTTCGCTAAAGAGAAGGCATTGAAAATTTGCTTTGGAACACGAGAGGAATCATATGCTACCTTGCCCTCAATGTGTTTTATGCTCCAACAGGCTAATCCTGGGTCTTTGATCCAACTCACCACGACCCCAGATCACTTGTTCAAGTATCTTTTTCTCTCACTCGTGTTAGAATAAAGGCCCAACGCTAGAGGGGGGGTGAATAGCGTTTAAAACAAAATCGCAGGAAATTAAAAACGAGAGCATTAAAGTAAAGAGCGTAAGGAAGGAGCACACCGAATTTTATCCTGGTTCACCACAACGTGTGGCTAATCCAGCCTCCCGAGAGACTCTCTCGAGCTACACTAACTCCGTTAAGCTTAAGGGTGCTTAACAAACCGATACAACTTGAGAACCCGAGTCACACGAGCCTCAACGCCTTTGCTTGGAGATACCACACTCCAAGACTTCTCACGAAGGAACAAAGACCTTCCTTCGAGTTTACAACAAGGGAACAACCTCCCTTAAAGTGTATAAAAACACTTAAGCACTCAGGAACAAAACTCTCACAAAGAGTAGATATGAGTGAACTAGTAAACGCTCAAGAACACGACAATTTCTTCAAGAATTGGCTCTCAAATAGCTAAGAAAAATAGGAATGCTTATGCAATGAAAGAGTATTGAAATGTTAAAGAATTGTGTATAAAATGAGAGGATTTGGGTGCCATTTTATAGCCCAAAATGGGATAAACCTGTTGCTAGAATTTCCAACAAGATGAAGACAAATTTTTTAGAGACACAGGATGATAGTCGATAATCAAAGCCTGATAATCGATTATCAAAAGATTCCCTATCCAAAAATTTAAAATTCTATCCGTTGGAGGACAACAGTAACCTAGATAATCGCTTTTCAACTTGTGATAATCGACTATTTGTCCTCTCAGAAGTCTCTGGGTTTTGGCTGCAAACTGTGATAATCGATTGTTGCAAAAGTGACAATCGATTATTTCATGCTTCAGAACTTTGAAGTTCAAAGCTGGAGGGGCTGATAGTCGATTGTCACTAAGGTGATAATCGATTATCACCGAGCTAAAACTTAGCTAGTTAAAACCCATTTTGAAAAACCGAGGTCCAAAAACGAAGTGTTCCCAAAAGTAAAAACCAAGTTTGAAAAACATTGTATATGGTATGAAATAGTGAAACCAAGACTTGTTTGGTAAAAACCAAATCTTCAAGGTCGTTTATCACGTGTGTACGGTTTTGACCGTTTTTCACGTGTTAGACCGATTGACCAAGATACAAAAGTGGTTTTTATAAAACAATTATTTGGGAACCTTTTAAATATGCCTAGAGATAAAAACGAGGTTTAAAAATTGAAAACCACCTAGTTGGTTCGGGCGCCAAAAACCGAACGCCGAACCCAGAAAGCCGTACGCCGAAGCCGAACGCCGAACGCCGATCTAGGTGGTTTTGGTTCTGAGCAAGGACCAGGGATTTTAACACATTAAGAATTTATTAAAAATGTTTATTTTGATGTACAAAAACATTTTATGATTTTGTAGAATTATTTTGACTCTTTGAGCACCAAGACTTGAATTGATTGTCGGTTTTGATCACAAAAGACCAACTCGACTAAGTCTTCAATTCTTGATCTTGTCCTTGAGTCTTTTAGGTCTTGTTCCATGCCATTATTCACGCCTTGAGTTATTCAACGAAACTCTTCATATCCACGCCGGTTTGGCAATTATCAAAACCTGTCAGAAATGAACACGATTTTAGTTTAACGTACAAAGTGTGTTCCAACAATTTCCCCCTTTTTGATAATGGCAAACAATACGGGGATATGCATAGGGTTTTGATCTTTTTGAAAAAAATTCCCCCTTAATAAAAAATTCCCCCTTAAAAAAATTTCCCCTTAAAAAATTCCCCCTTAATATATACATAGCCCTTATCTTCCCCCTTTTGACATTAACAAAAAGATTTAACAACAAAAACCATAAATATTTTTACTTATTAATTAAGGGAAATAGCAGAGTACATAACGGAAGCAAATTTAAAAAGCATAAAAAATAAAGAAGAGAAGGGAATAGAGCTAGAGCTCTAGAAGTCCGGTGAAAGATCATTGAGAAGTTGTTCTTCGTCAACGTCTTCCTCTTCCTCTTCATCACCACTGCCATCATCATCATCATCATCGGCTTCCTCTTCCTCTTCTTCTTCCTCTTCCTCATCGTCCACCTCTTCTTCTCCCCCAACGTTATTAGTCCCGCTTGGTTCACCCCCGAGATTCGGTGGAGGAGCGTAGGGGACCATTTGAGCGTAAGGGTAATTGATAAAGTCAAAGTACCCGTGAAGCTCTCGGATCAAAATATTGACATTTTGGGCCGTTTGGAAGACGTTGGTGTCAATTCGAGAAAGAGTGGCGGTCAAGGTGGCCATTTGCTCGGCAATAGAAGGGTTCTTTGAAGCGGCGGCCCTTGGTTGGCGGCGAGGACGAGGCTGCGGGAACGTAGCTTCATCGGTTCCTAGGTGGAAGGAAGACTCGTCAATCTCCCAATGCTTCGTCCCTTTGCATTTCGGCCCGACGTCCGTCTTGATGTGGTACTCATCAAGGATCGCCATGACGAGAAGAGCATAGGGGAGCGGCCGGTTTTCGGAGGTGGCATTGAACATGTGAGTCATCACAAATTTGCACCAATTGATGTTGGCGTTGTGAATCATCGCATGGATCGTCTTCGTGTCCTCTTGGGAGAGAGTGGTGTGATTGAACTTCCTAGGCTTGAGAATCCGTGTCAAAACATAAAAAATGAATCGATACACGGGACTCATGGAAGTAATCGTCGGACGCTGCTGTTGGGGAGTGGGGACGAAGTTGCGGATTCCCACTTGCTCCAAGAGGGCGTTCTCGTTGAACCGCGCTCCTTCTTGCATTGCCAAGGTCCAATGTTCATCATCAATTGCTTCCGAAATGGTTGTAGGTTCAATTTGAGAAACAAAAGCCATGTGACCTACGGTGTCCCTAAGAGAGCTACGAGTACTTACCTTTCGGTTGATGTCACCGATTACCTTGTCAAGAGGATGGTCCTTTGAAGTCTTCCATGCCCTTGGCATTGGCGTTTCTTCCTCTTGTGGTTGTTCCTCGTTCATAGGTGGCTCTACTTCTTCGTCTTGGCCTTCCTTTGAGTTGTCTCCTTCATCATTGTCGTTGAGATAGATGTTCTCTAATGAATCTACAAGATCATCACAAGAAATATTTCTCGCCAAGCGAGTATCATTTTCGGCAAAGACAACATGAGGAGATTCCTCAACGGTTAAGGTGCGTTTGTTAAAGACTCTATAAGCCTTACTACGCAATGAATAACCAAGAAAAATTCCTTCATCCGACTTTGCATCGAATTTTCCTAAATTATCTTTTCCGTTGTTGTGAGCAAAACATTTGCAAGCAAAGACTCGAAGATGGGAGAGGTTTGGCTTTCTTCCTTTGTATAATTCATATGGGGTTTTCATGAGTATCGGTCTAATGACGGCTTGGTTTAACAGGTAGCTCGTGGTACTCACGGCATCCGCCCAAAAATACTTAGGAATTTTCGCCTCATCGAGCATATTTCTAGCCATCTCCTCGAGACAACGATTTTTACGTTCCACCACGCCATTTTGTTGTGGTGTACGTGGAGCGGAGAAGTTATGCTCGATGCCTAGTTCGTCACAAAACTCGGTAAAGACATCTCGTTCGAACTCTCCACCATGATCGCTTTGTATGGCCACGGTGGTTAAACCTTTTTCATTTTGAACCTTTTTGAGAAAAGTTTTGAAAACATGAAATGCCTCACTTTTATGAGTTAGAAATAATGTCCATGTGAATCGAGAGTAGTCATCAACAATTACAAAGGCGAAATAGTTTCCCCCAAAACTCTTTGTTCGTGATGGTCCAAATAGATCCATGTGCAAAAGTTGTAGGGGCCTTGTTGTAGACACAACATTTTTCGATTTAAATGAGGCCCTTACTTGCTTGCCCTTTTGACATGAATCACAAATGGTGTCCTTCTCAAACTTGAGTTTCGGAAGGCCAACTACTAAGTCTTGTGAAACCAATTTATTCAAAAGGTTCATGTTGACATGAGCTACTCTATGATGCCATAGCCACATATGGTCCTCCTTACTCATGAGACATTTGGCAAAATCAGAGGGAGATTCATCTAAGTTAACCATATAAATGTTATCAATTCTATCACCACGAAGAATCGTCTTATTGTCACTAAGACGTTCAACCGTACATGATTTAGAATCGAAGGTCACACGATTTCCCTGGTCACACAATTGACTTATGCTCAAGAGATTGTGTTTAAGACCCTTAACCAACAACACATCATCAATAGAGGAGGTTTCGTTTTTACCAAACGAACCAATGCCGATTATATTGCCTTTGCTATTATCGCCAAAGACAACGTTTCCTCCTTTAGTTGGTTTGATTTGCAAAAACTTGGATGCATCTCTGGTCATGTGCTTGGAGCATCCGCTATCAAGGTACCAAAGTACACTTGATGCCTTCAAGCACACCTACAAATCAATTTAAAAAGATTTAGGTACCCAATTCTTTTTGGGTCCTTGGGCGTTAGGTGCACGTTGGTAGTGTGATTGGTTTTGAGTGCAATGCCTATGCCTAGTGAAACAAACCAGGGCTATATGTCCTACCCTATTACAATAATGAAAAATAATATTTGGATTATGCATTCTCCTAGGTTGATAATAGTTACTAGGTTTTCTATATTGATTGATCCTAGTTTGAGAAAAGTTTTGTTTATGCATATTTGGAAAATGGTTTCTAGGTTCTCTAACTTGACCATTGTTCATCCTAGTGTTCTTTCTAGGTGGTCTAGTGTTCCTAGTTGTTGTAGGTTGTCTATTATTGTTCATTTTAGTTTTCCTAGGTTGAGCCTTAGGTTGTTTAGGTGGTTGCTCAACTTTTTCCTTATTATTAGTTTCATTTTCAATTCTAAGACATGTTTAGTAAGTTGCAAATTATCAAGAACATCATTAATATTTTTATGTGAAACACCAAACTTCTTTAAGGTTCCTTCAAGTTTTGCAACTTGTTCTTTAAGTGATGTACAAGAACTACATTTTGAACTCTCCGGTTTGTCGGCGCTTCTTTTTTCGAAAAACTTATTTTCTTCTTTAAGTTTTTCATTATCTTTTGATAGTTTATCAACCTCCTTCTCCATGGAAGTAAGTTGTTTCTTTAAATCCTTGTTAATTTTAGAAGCGTTGACATATTCATCATAAAGTTCATTAAAAGCTTCTTGTAAATCATCAAAAGTATAGGAATCTTTAGAAGTGGTACATATCTCTTCCGGTGGTTCCTCGTGTGCCATGAGGCAAAGGTTGGCGCTTTCATTTTCTTTGCCTTCCGATGACTCGTCGCTGGAATCACCTCCCCACGAAATGTACGCTCGGTGCTTTTTGAATGGTTTCTTCTCCTTCTCATTCTTGGCATTTGGGCATTTTGGATTGATATGCCCAACTTCTCCACACCCATAGCACTTGGGTGGTCCTCCATGCCTCTTGCTCTTTTGTTCATACTCCTTGCGCATGAACTTGTGGAATTTCTTGATAACGAGCCCGAACTCGTTGTCTTCATCGCTTGATTCCTCCATGACAGGTTCTTGGCTCGTGGAAGCCTTGAGTGCAATCCCCTTCTTCTTTTGTTCACCTAAAGAGGGGAAAAGAATGGTAGACTCGTAGGTTTTGAGGTTACCTCTAAGCCCGTCGATGGTGACGTTGGTGATGTCGATGGACTCTTAGATGGCATCGGCTTTGGAGCGCCATTCCAGTGTGAGACTCCGCAGGATTTTTCTCACAAGCTCCTTGTCCGTGTACGTCTTCTTGAGAGCATGGAGATCATTGATGATTTTGGAGAATCGTTCAAACATCTCATCAATTTTCTCATTCTCCTTCATATGAAACAATTCATATTCATGGGTTAGAAAATCAATTTTAGCTTCTCGGACTTGATCCGTACCTTCGTAGGTGATTTCTAATTTGTCCCACATTTCCTTGGCGGTGGAACAACAAGAGATTTTCCGGTAGTCATCCGGGTTTACGGCACAATAGATGATGTTGATGGCCTTGGCATTCTTCTCCACTTTCTTGATGTCTTGTGCATCATACTCATTCTCGGTCTTAGTGACGTTGGTTTCCCCGACCTTCTTCATGGGCACATCTTCGCCATTTTTGATAATTCTCCACAGGAGAAAGTTGGTGGATTGGATGTAAATCCTCATCCGCTCCTTCCAATAGGTATAGTTCGTTCCGTCAAACAACGGAGGCCTCGTGGTGGATTGCCCTTCACCTAAACCTGCGTATGAACTTTGAGTAGAAGCCATCGATCGTTTCTCTCAAACGGTTAAGTCTTTCAGAGAGTATGGCTCTGATACCAATTGTTAGAATAAAGGCCCAACGCTATAGCGGGGGTGAATAGCGTTTAAAACAAAATCACAGGAAATTAAAAACGAGAGCGTTAAAGTAAAGAGCGTAAGGAAGGAGCACACCGAATTTTATCCTGGTTCACCACAACGTGTGGCTAATCCAGCCTCCCAAGAGACTCTCTCGAGCTACACTAACTCCGTTAAGATTAAGGGTGCTTAACAAACCGATACAACTTGAGAACCCGAGTCACACGAGCCTCAACGCCTTTGCTTGGAGATACCACACTCCAAGACTTCTCACGAAGGAACAAAGAACTTCCTTCGAGTTTACAACAAGGGAACAACCTCCCTTAAAGTGTATAAAAACACTTAAGCACTCAGGAATAAAACTCTCACAAAGAGTAGATATGAGTGAACTAGTAAACGCTCAAGAACACGGCAATTTCTTCAAGAATTGGCTCTCAAATAGCTAAGAAAAATAGGAATGCTTATGCAATGAAAGAGTATTGAAATGTTAAAGAATTGTGTATAAAATGAGAGGATTTGGGTGCCATTTTATAGCCCAAAATGGGGTAAACCCGTTGCTAGAATTTCCAACAGGATGAAGACAAATTTTTCAGAGACACAGGATGATAGTCGATTATCACAGCCTAATAATCGATTATCAAAAGACTCCCTGTCCAAAAATTTAAAATTCTACCCGTTGGAGGACAACGGTAACCCAGATAATCGATTTTCAACTTGTGATAATCGACTATTTGTCCTCTCAGAAGTTTTTGGGTTTTGGTTGCAGACTGTGATAATCGATTGTTGCAAAAGTGACAATCGATTATTTCATGCTTCAGAACTTTGAAGTTCAAAGCTGCAGGGGCTGATAGTCGATTGTCACTAAGGTGATAATCGATTATCACCCAGCTAAAACTTAGCCAGTTAAAACCCGTTTTGAAAAACCGAGGTCCAAAAATGAAGTGTTCCCAAAAGTAAAAACCAAGTTTGAAAAACATTGTATATGGTATGAAATAGTAAAACCAAGACTTGTTTGGTAAAAACCAAGTCTTCAAGGTCGTTTATCACGTGTGTACGGTTTTGACCGTTTTTCATGTGTTAGACCGATTGACCAAGATACAAAAGTGGATTTTATAAAATAATTATTTGGGAACCTTTTAAATATGCCCAGAGATAAAAACGAGGTTTAAAAAATTGAAAACCACCGAGTTGGTTTGGGCGCCAAAAACCGAACGCCGAACCCAGAAAGCCGTACGCCGAAGCCGAACGCTGACCTAGGTGGTTTTGGTTCTGAGCAAGGACCAGGGATTTTAACACATTAAGATATTATTAAAATGTTTATTTTGATGTACAAAAACATTTTATGATTTTGTAGAATTATTTTGACTCTTTGAGAACCGAGACTTGAATTGATTGTCGGTTTTGATCACAAAAGACCAACTCGACTAAGTCTTCAATTCTTGATCTTGTCCTTGAGTCTTTTAGGTCTTGTTCCATGCCATTCTTCACGCCTTGAGTTATTCAACGAAACTCTTCATATCCACGGCGGTTTGGCAATTATCAAAACCTGTTAGAAATGAAAACGATTTTAGTTTAACGTACAAAGTGTGTTCCAACAACTCGCACCTTGAAGATAAGGGTGGCCCCATTGTGTCCTTGTCCTAATTATTGATGGGTCCTTTATGAAATCATATTATAAAGGGACACTTTTAACAGCAGTTGCACGTGATGGGAATAATCAGATTTTTCCACTAGCATTTGGCATATGTGACACAAGAACGATGCGAACTGGCATTGGTTTCTCTTAAGAGTAAAGCAAGCTCTCAAAGACTGTCCAGTGGAGTTTATAGTCTCGGACAGGCATGAAGGAATTATTAAGGCTGTGAAATCGGTTTTTCCAAAAGCGGGTCATGGCCATTGCATATTCCACATTCTCGGGAAAATCCAGTCCAATTTTAATGGTTCCGAGAAGTCTTTATCCTGGAAATTTTATGCTGCCGCAAGGGCATCTTCTGAAGTTGAATGTGAGCGATTTTTGAATTATCTGGGCAGTGATGACCCCAGGATCATTGGATACCTCAAAGTAATATGCAAAGAGAAGTGGGCAAGGTCTTGCTCGAATAACCGTTTTTCTATAATGACTTCAAACCTCGCCGAGTCTATGAACAATGTTGACGTTGTCCCATGGGAATATCTGATTACACAACTGGTCGACTTTCTTGTGGGGAGGATGCAAGTTTGGTTCCATAAGCGTAGAGAATTGGCCAACGCAACCTCATCTATATTGACAAAATTCTACGAGGCGGAACTTAAGGAACTACATGCAGCTTCAACTGTTATGGAAGTAAGTAATTTAAAAATAAATTTCACACGCACCTACATTCCTAGTCATTATTATTAAATATTAATAAGAATCATCACCCCCTCTCTAAAAATTACTTTTAGATCATTTTCTTACATTAATTTCTGGTCATTATACTATTCATTTTAATGCAAAAAACTACATAACACGTAATCCCTTAATATGTGGTCATTAATTGTCATAACACGTAATGACCATTCTGCGAAATCCAAGTCATTATACGCAATCATTTGGGGTCCTTCATTACCTGTCATTACACGTAATAACCATTCCCAATTCCCAATCATTATTACTTCGTTATAAAACTCATCAACCACCCAGTCCAGAACCATAATGTCTGATTAAATTTCTAGTCTTTATAAAAACCCCATTGTCTAAATTCCCCTCATTCGGCTTTGTTTAATACAACGCATAAACTAATTTCGCAGTCATTAAGAACCCAAACTCATGTCACTAAAATTTTGCAGGTTAGACCAGCTTGTGCATTTGAGTTCCTAGTCTTTGACAAGAACGGCCGGTCGTTTGTTGTGAATTTTTAGAACCGAACATATACCTGCTGGGAATTCCAATTGGACCATTTTGTATGTGTTCATGCAGTCGCTGCTACTTGTTGTCGACATGGATTGTCGTGCTATGACTACATCTCATCATTCTACACCGCTGCTTCCTGGAGAGCTACGTATAGTGGTATCATACACCCAATTCCTTCTAAAGGTTCGTGGGTTGTACCTGATGAGTTGCTGAAACTGTTTGCCTGCCATCATCCTGCTCCAAACGACCTCCAGGGAGACCAAAGAAGCGAAGGATCCCGTCAAAAGGTGAACATGCGAAGCGGCAAACCTACTCACGATGCAAATCATTGGGACATAATAGAAAGACTTGCGCGAATCCCATTTCTTCAAGTCGAGTTTGACTTCTGAAGGAAGACGTATGGGAATCACAACATTCAGGGGAACCGTGGTCCAGCATGTCCTTTAGTCTTGTCCCAATTCTGGTTCATTTTGTGTTATTTTAAACGTTCAGGGATTCAATTTTTGGTTCATTTAGTTTTTATTATTTTAATTCTATCTGATAGTCAATTTGTATTGGGAAACAATTCATTCCCCACCCCCCTGTATCATTTCACGCACAATAATGACTAAACAGGACACAAGTGCAAAAAAATACACCATGTTTAGGCCTCTATGAAGCATCCTAAACAAAACAGATCTAAACATATACCACTTAAAAAACACCTTATCTCCTCAATTTTTCAGATGCATTATCTTATCTTAGAATTCTACTAAAATAATGACCTAACACATTTAAAACCATTTAGGACACAAACTGCCTAGTGGAAAAAAACTCACACAGATATACCTCATTCTTCCAATGTAACTAACTGTCTCAAAATAACAGCCCTCACTAACTGTCTCAAAAATATATTGCATAGAAGTCATTAAACCAAAACATTGCTGCAAAAAAACTGTAAACGAATGCATGACTGTCTCATTTGAAACACAGTCCATAATTCCTACTTCTCGGAATAAGCCAACAACTCTGTCGTCATCTTCTTCCGGTATGCGGCAATCTCATCATCATCCATATCGCGCACATCACGCCCCATCATGAGAAATTCTGCCATCTTCACTACGAACATCCCACAACTAGACCTGAGTCATGCAAGAACAGAAGATGTTAGGTTAAAATAACCACATTAACTAAATCAGTACTTACCTTCGTGCATTAATGCCCATCACAAACCCGTCATTTTGCTGAGGGCAGCATGGCCCACCCTCAATCGCAAGGACACCATCACCTATCAGACCTTCTTCCCGTCCTTCATACACTCCCAGCTTATCCATCAGCCTTGGCAGAAACATTTGGAGGCTTGGCATAAATTGTTGTAGTTTCCGTTTGGAATCGCATCTCTGCAGGCTTGAGTCATATGTTCTGATTACCTTCTGCTTAATGTCCAGGACCAGCAATGTCGAATGACTCCCTGTATTGAGTGGCATGTACACGAAATCTGCACCCTACCATGGACGGCCGTACTCCATCTTACCTCCAATGATTGTGCTCCTTATTGACTTATTCCATGTAGCTTGCTCAATTGTCAGTTCTTTCTTCAAATATCTATCACACAAAGTCTTCATTGATTCAAGTAACGGGGTGTCTGTCGTTGTGTACCTCTACGCTAACCCGAACTCCACTCCTTTCATCCTTAGGTAGTAGAAAATGACATCAAGATGCTGCATTTTAAAAGTGATTACATTTTCGTATGCATTCAACACAGCACACAGAGTTTTGTATATAATTAATGGAATTAACATTACCGTATCTGACAGCCACCCCCAAGGGAAATAGATATCGTAGTACTAGCTTTTCGTTAAGGTGTCCTTCTCACCGTAGTGAATCTTAAACTCACTTGGTGCAAGAACATCTTCATTCGAACAGTACCTACACCCGGACAGCTTCTTATGCTTCTTTAACAGACCTTTGTGCATGAACTCATCCACCTCACTGGGGTTTAATGTGAATGGCCCCATGAAATCATCTCCATCTCCACCGAACTCTACAACATGGTCCATCACTATTCTCACCTTTTTCCTTTTACGCCTGACTATCAATTGGTCAGGACTGTGAAAGGTAACCACGGTTGGGAGGGCAGCAGAAATACAAAAATTTAATCTCCCAATAGTGATTACTAGCCAAGAACACGTACTAAAACTATAGCTAGAGAGAGAAAGTTATACCTTCTCCGGTAAAGCGGTATGTACGAGAAGTCAAGCAAAAGGTGTTGAAGGAGCAAACGTAGCCGTTCAAGCGTCCGGCCTCCAACTTTGACACACGAACAGTCTCCGGAGTCTACTATAATCTTTATGCTAGTAAAGATTATAATTGTAGATTAAATATAAAGATTATTTCAGGGATAATATAAATCTTGTATATTAAATAGTTGAAAATATATCAATAATATTTTAAAGAAAATATTATATCAATTTTCTACAAAAAAAATAATAACTTTTGGAACTCAAAATGTTTTTCCTCTTCCTCTTCCCTTCTTGGCCGAAACTATTTGAGTTAAGTTGTGAGAGTGAGAATTTTCCATTTTATTAAAATGAGAAAAACATTTACAATAACAAAGAGACAAAAAAATTTTCTCAAAGTGCCTTCCTCCACTCATTTCAAAAGTGGGAGACAACTCCACTTAGCATGTACGAAATGGTGGAGGGAAGAAATTATTTCTTCTCCTCTCAAATGTTCAAAGTATATTTTATTTGACATCAATAATTTTTATTCTATAAAATAAAATACTCAAAACATTTTAAAACAAGTATATAAAATATACTTTAAAATAGATTTTGTCAAAATAATTATTTTCATAATTAAAATGACACTCCAAAATAAAATGTGCACAATATAATATATATAAAGTAATGCATACATACATGTACACGTTACATACATACTACACACACATATATATATGCTTGTACATGTAATAAGGATGTATATATATTTATATGTGCCGTGTACAATATACATACATACATACATACATACATACATACATACATACATACATACATATATATATATATATATATATATCCCTCTATTATCCCTCTATACATATAAATGTTAAACCCGGTTAGGTACCCTTTATATTTGTGCACCGTTTCCATCCATAATAGTTGTACATTGTGATTTGGGTGGTGTACGCCGTTAAATATACCCAACTTTGCCCTTACGCTGTTCAATGTCGTGTACTCCCAAGTACCAACATTTCTTAATAATTTATGTAGCTTTTTTGATACTAGACTCGAACCCGTGCGATGCACGGGCTGTAAAATTACTTATATTTAGTCGTGGTTTGAAATAACATAAAATGATACAAAAATCAAAAGATTACAAATGTTATTAAAATTGCCCAAAATAAGACATTGTACAGCAAGGACCGTAGATGCACGGCCAATGATTTATTTTAAAATTAATAATTATGAAAATTATTAAAATACATATTTTATATATTTCAGACACCTTATAGATTCTAATAGGGAAATTTTTTTGATATAATATAATTAAATATAAGAATAACTTGAATGTAATGAAAAAAATAAACAAAGCTTAAATGTTTTGTAACACTTGTTTGTATTCAACATTTGCAAGTTGGTTATCGTCACTCCAAATTAAAAATAGTCCCACATGTTTAATAGATTTGTCTTTGCTTTTATTAATACATATGAGACGGGAAATTCTTTGCACGCACGTCTTATCTTTGATTAGCTTTGTCTCCTATCTATGAATAATTATTATACGCTTATAACATCAAAAATATCATAACTCTAAAACATTAGAAACTATCTTATATTGCAAAAGATGATGATTTTATTCCAACGTTTAATAACTAAACAATCCCAAACATGAAACAATGCATGCCTTCAACAACCGAAGATTAAAAATAAAATGCAACATTTAATTGGTTCAAATACAACTAAAAAGTTTGGACACACTCTAAAAAGCTCCACCATAAAATATTGGCGAAAAAAAAGCTCCAAGGCATTTCGTAATATAAGGAACAGCAGGTCAATGGCTCTCTACTTTGATGGCACTCTAACGAAATCGTCTATTGACCTTTTTTAATGGATCTTTCAACCTTGGGTTTCTTCAAGCAGTAATGTTGGCTTTCTCCAATCTTCAAATGATCATTTAAAACAATTTGTGATATTAGAAAGGACAATATAGTAAATAATTATCACATTTAATTTAAAAACTTTTATTTTAAATTTAAATTAAAAAACTACTTTATAGACTAAATTCGAAGCTATTGTCCAACAAAAATAAAAAACTTTCACTACCTCTAAATATTTGTAAGTATAAATAGAACAAAATTGTATTCAATTTTAAATCTGATGAGCCTTACGTTGTTCTATTCAAAGACATGTCGTACATGGCTGCCAAAATTCATCTAGATCGAAACCTTACCTGCTTCGCCGATCTTTTGGAAAGAAAATCAATCGAAACCATACCCGGCCTGCCACCACCTTCATCCTATCAAGATCCAATCATTACATATGTGGCTACTTTCAAAACCCTAGCCCCGGACATGGTTCCGAGCGAGCAGTAAGCATAAGAAGAGAGAGCTTTGTTCCTTTTTATGAATCGAGCAGAGACTGGATCAAGCAAAAAACCCTAGAAAAAGCAACAGTACATCTTCTCGGAATCACTCTCCAATCTTTGATATTCAATATTTGTTTTTTTGGTGTTTTGATTATTATTTTGGTTCTCTTTCATTTTGGCAATTAATTATCTAGAGAAGACGAAAGACGCAAAAACAAAGAAGCCAGTGGCCCCATGTGTGTAATCAGATATTACATAGTTTCAGTCTTGAACACTTCGGTAATGATAGTTGTGGCTGCAAGTGAGTGTACTGCTGTAGTAAAGAAGACCCAAGGTATTTCTCTGTGTTTTTAAATCTATATTTTATTTAGGGGCTGTTTGGCAACTTCTGAATGGGTAAGTGCTAAACCAGTAAGAGGTCTGAACCATTAAGTGCTGAACCAGTAAGAGGTCTGAACCATTAAGAGCTAGTATATTACTTAACTATTCAGAGGCAAATGTCTGATCAATTCAGATAAGAGGTCTTAACCATTCAGACTCTGTATAATACTTAACCATTCAGAGGCAAATCTCTTAACCATTCAGACATCTGAACCATTAAGAGGCTGAAACAAACAGTTTGAACCATTAAGTGCTGAACCATTCAGACATCTGAACCATTAAGAGGCTGAAACAAACAGCCCCTTAAAGTTTAATTCAATCTTTGGTGTTAAATCAAGGGTTTTCGATGTATCTTTCGGCTTGAAAATGTGTTGTTCATTTTACCCCCTTAGCTTCGTATAAATAAAGATTTAACACCAAAGATTGAATTAAACTTTAAATAAAATTTAGATTTAAACACACAGAGAAATACCTTGGGTCTTCTTTACTATAGAAGTACACTCACTTGCAGCCACAACTATCATTACCGAAGTGTTCAAGACTGAAACTATGTAATATCTGATTACACACATGGGGTCACTGGCTTCTTTGTTTTTGCGTCTTTCGTCTTCTCCAGATAATTAATTGCCAAAAATGAAAGAGAACCAAAATAATAATCAAAACACCAAAAAAACAAATATTGAATATCAAACATTTCATATCATAAAAAACACATAATGGAAGAAGGAACAATCAACAACAAACCCGGTATAACCTTCATATTCACTTCTTTATCCCACCAACAAAAAAGAATCTGTAACCCATAGAACAATTTATACTAATTTTAAACAAAACAACAACAAAAACAACCACTGAGTGAAATGAAAAACAAAACTGAATGAGATTTTTTTTAAATAAGAAATCAAGTAAATAAAAAATGAATAAGGGAAAAACTTTTGAATTCAAGAAAAAAATGGATAAATAATGGATAAATAAAACATTTGAATTCAAGAAAAAAACTTACCGGTCGTTAAACTCAAAGGGCATAGAGGCCATCGAACAGATGAAACCCTAGATCCAGAAGAACCTTGCGGCGGGCTCTGGTCGAAGAGGACAGCAGCCACCACGTCTATGTTGAAGCAGCGAAGGTCTGAAAAGAATCAAGTGTAAGCTTTGTAGAAAATTTTTGGAGCATAGGGCGTAAGCTTTTCCCGGAAGCGTTCAACGTAAATTTGGAGCTTATTACAGCGGACTCCAGAAGAACCTTGCGGCTGGCGTACAGCGTAAGGTTTAACCCTCATTTTCCAGCCTCTCCATATGATAGGCCCATTAATTAGGCAGTGACCCAACCCAATCTAATAAAAGTAAAAAAAAATCTTAAAGGGTGCAACTCTATTTTAGCCATATAATCTTATGAAATACATAAATAATCCTAGAAAAATCTAACTGTAGAATAATAAAGCTAAATAATGAGTCTAGAGTTTGTACTTTCAATGGATGATTACTTACCCGTGCAAAGCAAAAATAGGATATTCTCCATTTGCAACCTGCATTCATCAAAGTACAAAGATTACATATAGCAAGATTACAAAGAAAACGTGAATAGACACACAAAGCTTTAATGATCGCAGGATTGAAAACCAAGTTTTCATTGTGATAATTTGCTACATATATGCTTAAGTACACCATTATCATTGAAAGCCTAATATATACTCATTACTATGCCCAATTTGTAATTTAGAAAATATTTTATTTTCAAAAAAGAAATAATTAAAAAATCACCAAAAATACACCATTCTGACATTTGATCGAGCACCTCTTGTGTTAGTATGTATGTGGTTAACTTTCACAACCCAAACCTTCCAAAATCTTTAATTTCCTTTTATTTCTTAATTTAAGACTAATTGGTTAAAGTTTTATAAATGAACTTGTAGAATCTGTTTTCAATAATTGCGTAATGTAGAAACTGATTGTTTAGTAAAAAAACTTACTCAAATCATATTTATCTATTTCATTTAAAATTAGTACATGTTTTGGTAATTCATACAAATAAGCACATTCACACACTATATATGAAACTTAAGTGCATTTCAAATAAAACTCCACCAAAAAGGCTTACCACTCTTCTCAAGTTCCACTCAGCAATATTAGGCGAGAATAAGTTTGTGTTTAACTACTGTGAAGGTAAAATAGACAGGAAAATTTAGGTTTTTATTCTTAAAAATGAATTACAGTTTAATAGATATTAGTGATAAAGATGTAGCACCGTCGGATTACGAAGTCGGTGGCTAGGATTTGGAAGCCTAGCCCTCATGTCAATAACGGCTCATGTTCGTGCTTCGTCACTCAGATGTAACTTAGTTTTTCAAATCTTATTGAAATGCAGTACATCAAGAAGACACAAATTGTAGCCACGGTACACCAAGAAGACACAAATCCAAAATAAATTGAACACAATGAACACATATCCAGCAAGTAATGTCTTATTTCAAGTTAAAAACTTAAGTTCCTAAACAAAAAACAAATCTAGGGCTCGGTAATAGTTACAATTTATGGTCCAACTTGGATCAAAATCTTCATTCAAAAAAAATGCACAAACTATAGAAAACATTACTCCACAAACAATGATATTTTTTATCCCTAGAAAATTAATCCTGTAAGAAGAAGAAGTCAATGCTGGACAAAGTAAGATAAAATTAAATAAAAAAATACCTTTACTTTTCTTCTCTACGCTAGGTGCTTCTAGAGTAGCTGATCACCAGCATGTAACTAATAGTGTACAAAGATTTGTTTAGAGGGATACCTATAGTAAGCAACAGAGCAATTTTTAATAAAAATGCAGCATCCCTTTCCATATTTGTGTTAATCCCAAATATGCTATAGAGAGACGTACCCAGCAAAGCTAAGAACAATCCAAGACAGAAAAGTGGAAATGAAAGAATGGACCAATTGTACAACCTTTCTTTATGTTCATGCAAAAAATTACTACATCATCCAGAAAGATATCTGCGACGGCTGCCCTCTTTCTCGCAGCGGCGGCTCAGCTTTAGTCGCCGACTTTACCCGAGATAGTGGAATCAAGATTTTACTCACGGTGCTTTAGTCGCCTGTTTAGAGACCACTTCAAGGCACACACCTGAAATTCTTAGTTATAAGAAGGTGAGGTTCAAACTATGCGAAGGATTAAAACTTATCTATGGTTTTGAGAAGCCCAGATTTGACAAAATAAAACAAAAAATTTTATACCAACCATCTCCAGGATATAAATCCGCCTGCATCTCCGAAAGACAATATTAACTCGGAAGCTGATCTGAAGTTATTGCGGATGGAATTGCACGATGTTCTAGCTGTACATGAAAAAACATTTTAGCTGCCATAATTGATATTGGTTTCTAGCATTTTTCATACATCTCGTAAACAAAAAAATCCCAACATAATTATGATGAATGATAAATAGATGGATCTTTGAGTGAAATCAGAGAAAATAATCTCAAAAGAAACGGAAGTGAAGGAAAAATTCACATCTTTATTTAATGTAAAAAGAATAAAAACTCAAGCTTCTCCGACTCTTAGAAGCTTCGTTGAGGAATTTCATCAAACACATAGCATGCAATCTAGATGCCAAAATCAATTTCTTTTTTTTCAACTACAAAATTGGATAGTCCATTAAGTAGAGAATCAAAGATGAGAAGAAAAAGAGAATGAAGTAGAAGACCTGTAACTGGTTGTCTTGCTAGGCCAGCCGTCTTTCTCGTCAGAATCTATCACCAACATACCTAGCCACAACGTTGAGTTCTTCCTCCACTGAGTTCGAACAGCCGTTAACATACCTTCACTGTCGCCAGTGAAGATCTCGATATTTTTTCTCCACTGATACTGAACAAATATGAAGATTGTGAAGCAGGTGTGATAGACGGAAGAATGAGACGCTGATAGAGATCCCGATAGTGAAACTTCCTTAATACGCTGGCCGAAGAAGCGTACCTGATACGTTGGACTAATGGGCTTCATAACCACAATTTACAGCCCATTAAACAGTGACCCGACCCAAAACTTTGGGCGGGAATACTGTTCATTTTCGGCTCTCACCATTGTATATATAGAGATTAATTCCATCTGGAGTAATTAATGGTAAATTACTAAATTTATCCAATTGCTTTTCAAAACGTAATGCAACCACTATTCATCTCACTCTTGTGATTTGAGAAGATTTCCAATGTCTTTTCCTTTGAATATATTACCTCTTCGCGTATATCGGATATTTTCCTCCTTTCGCCAACTCATCCCACATTGGGGTACTGCTAATCTCAGATTCCAAATTTTACGGTATGTTGCTTGCAATTCTTTAGCCAATTCAGATTTAAGAAGTAAATACGAAAGGAATTTTAGTGATTAATTACAAATTATGAATCATCCGTTTTTTTCCTTCCCCAATTTTTAAATTTAGCTAGACTGCGTACCTTGTCCACGGTGGGTTGACGCACAATTGGCACAAACATAATAGCACATCTGGTTCCAGGTATATCAAATGTTTGAATGCCAAATTTTTTAGCATTTTCCCTTAATCTATTGGTTTTTGTGTTCTACAATGAGCATACTGTCATATTACTATGGCTTAGCAAATGCTGTTGTGTTTTTCCCCACTTTGTTAGCTACAGGTCAATAGTTTGGCTCGCCATTATTCTGGTAATCACTAACCAATCGGAACATCAATCTTCAGGTAATTATAGTTTTAATTTTTTTTGGTGCCATGTTTTTTTGGGTAAAACAATAGCTATGGCTAAAGAATTTGGACAGATTGCGTAAAGACGAATAAGGTTACAAATCAAATTGGGATGTTAGGATTTTTAATATACACCAAAGTGTTTCCTAAAAATGAAATGATCTCATTATATGCGGAGTAATTTACTATTTATCTCCAGTAATGATATTGTTTAAAAACTATTAAGCCCCGTTTGGTACACGGAATTCAAACTATGGAATTGGAATTAGGGACTTCAATTCCAATTCTTCTGTTTGGTAGCACAAAAATTTTATGGATTTGGATTTGGTAATGCAAAAAATGATTTGAAATGGGTGAATTCAATTCTATGGAATTGAATCCCATGGAATTTTACTTCCAATTCAATTCCAATTCCATCAATTCCGTGTACCAAACGGATAGTTTTTTGACCTTCTCTTCCACGAGGCTTACAATACACTCACCAAGTCAGGTAATTGGAATATTTTGTTTATTTCAGGCTGTTTTCACAATTATAATAGGTACACTTTCAAACCTAATTTCCTTTTCACTTGTAATCCACTTTGAACACATAAACACACATAATTAAGTTTTCCATTCAGGACCACCTTGAACAGACCAAAATCATTAGCAGACTCTACTGTTTGTGTCTGAAAAATGGCAACATAAATTTTCCAACAAGTTTTCTTTTGTACTACTAAAATTTAACATCTAACTATCTAATTGAACTCCAAACCATAAAAATATTATTATCTATTTATCTTCAATTTGTGGTCTCTTTTATATACTGCCGGCTTTGGTTTAAAAGATTTCACCCTACTTTGGTTTTAAAATGGCTTTGGTTTGGTTAAATTTCATATTAAAAATTAAACCAAATAATAAAAATCAAAATCATAAGTGTAACCCATTTAATATAGAGAGAATTGTTTTACAGAATTAGAATAAATGAATTATATTAAGGCATGTTTTCTTGTGTTAGTATAATGTTTATTCTTAGATTTTCCATGATCACCACAACCATGCTAGCTTTGTGCTTTAACAGTATGCATCATTTTTCCAATAGGTAGAGAATGTATTTCTGTTCTTAGAGAGGAAGACATACAATCACATGAGGCAACACTTGGTTATGGACACCTTGGTGAGCCTAAACATAGTATGTTTCTGCTTAAAAAACAAAAACTTACCATAGGCAAAGAAAGTATGTATGTGCTTCATAAATGGGATTGGATGTCATCATACCTTTGTTTACTTATATTTGAAGTGGTTGGTTTTTGTTCCTCCCAGATTGACTTGTTCAAAAAGAGTACTGAAAAAAGCATAGAAAAATATAAAACCAAGAAAGATATTGAAGATCATTCATACAAAGTTCATTGATTAATGAAAACTTTTGATTATATGAAAGATTAAAGAAGAACTATTAAACTTGACCATGCATCTTTGAAATGAATAAGAGTTCCTGATTGTATTCATAAGTGGATGATCCTTCTTTTCAAGAGACTATCTTAACAACTCTATTGTAAACGTGCCCTTGCATTTCAAACTAATACACACAAGCATTGCCCAACCAAACCTATATCCACATATCAAAATCTAACATTTCAACTACTTACTAAGAAAACTTCTAAACATGTCAGTAAATGGAAGTGGATTTCGCTCTGTATATCCACGTTTAGTCTCACATTAAAATATATGTATTATAAAATCTATTTTTATTTCTATATGTATTTCTCTGGTATGTTTTGGTGTGTATTTAAAATGGATCATTCATTGTTCAAAATTTTCAACTTAGGACAATAAGATTGATGATGTGAATTTTCTTGTGGGGTCTTTTACTGATGGAGGACTGTTCAAGAGGAGTGTGGAGTGTACGGTTCGGTGAATAACATCCAAGTGCAATGAAGGTTTCTCTTTGATGACGTTGATACCTGATCCATTGGTTTTACCGAGAAACATAAAAAAATGTTTACCAATATTCTTGCCACTAATACCAGGGGAGGTCCCACGACCACAAAAAGTCCAAAACCCGTATACCTACAAAGCCAGGAAAGTTCAAGTAATGTTTTACATTTTTTTGTGGTTAATGTTCAGGTTAGCAATATGCGTGAAAAATGTCCTTCACTTCATGTATGGTGGTGCATCTTTTGTGACATACAATCAGGAATGCTTTACTGTAATTTATTCTCTGCATAAATGATGTGAAGATAACAATAGTTTGGTTAGTTAATTAAAAAATGTGAATACAATGTAGTAATTAAATAACGGCTAATATATATGGCCAATATCTGACTTCATACATCTAATTTTCCAAGCACTCCATTGGTAATCATTGTAAAATTATATTTTTGAGGAGTCAGACTTAAGGTATCTAAAATTGAAATATTTCATACAAAAGTATAATGCATCTTTGAAAAAGAAAATTATGCCGTTGGATTTATTTCATGAGAATATCTTAAAAATGAACAATGTAACTGAAACTTACCATTTTGTACCAAAATATCTTTAATAGTGGTGTAGGTACATAGTAACAGACTATGAATCTTTTAATGCCATGTACAATTTCCAGGACATGACAAAACAACAGAGGAGTACTGTTTACCCGTGGGGTGCTTCCGAGGGCAGCACTACTATGAATCTTTTAATGCCATGTACAATTTCCAGGACATGACAAAACAACAGAGGAGTACTGTTTACCCGTGGGGTGCTTCCGAGGGCAGCACTTCTGAAATGGTCACAGTTGATGATGAATTTGGTCCAGTTACAACTTACAAGTGTTAAATGGGCTCCCAACGGAAGGCATGTTGCTGCTGACTTGAATAATTTTGATGCCCAGCTGTGGGATTCCACGAATAACACATTGGTATGCTTCTTCTCAAGCTCTATTAGATTCGCTCTTTGAAACTTTTCTTTCGTTAATTGAAAAATTGCTGAGTTTGTTTGCTGGCATTTACCTACTTTGAGAGGTTGCCACCAATGACGAGTAATAGCCCTTGATTAGAACAATCGTATACTAACCACAGGTGGGATGGATGGTAAGATTCTCAACAATGACGTGCGGGTGAGATCACAAATTGTGGAAACATAAGGAGGAAATAGTCAAGAAGTGTGCGGCCTAAATTGGTTTGCCTCGGGTCATCACTTTGCAAGCAGAGGATATGATAATCTTCTCTATATTTCGGACAGATCATCGACTATTGTTTCTTCTTCCAACTCCACCTCCTGAACAACACAATGGCTTCACACATTTGCAGTTAAGGTGCTTGCCTGGTGCCCCTTTAAGGAGAACCTCTTGGCATCCGGTGGAGATCGACCGATGCATTAAGTTTTAGAATGCCCATACCGGTGCGTAGGTGAACTCTGATACAGGGTCCCAGGCATGTTCGTTTCTTTGCAACAAGAATGAGCGCGAGTTGCGTACCTCTCATGGGTTTACTAAGAATCAGCTGAATCTCTAGAATTACCCATCAATGGTTAAAATAGTAGAGCTTACGGAACTTACCCCTTGAGTTTTTTTTATTTCCCTCAAGTTTGACTATCTTTCTTCTTCTTTTTCTCACAAAATTAATATCCTAACGTTTCTGTGGTTGTGCGTAGTAAATGATAAGTATACTCACACTCATATTTGTTGTGCAGAGCCTTGATGTTTGCATTCTAGCATCTGCTGCAAGTGATGAAACACTAAGATTCTGGAATGTTATAAGAACCCCTGAAGTCAAAAATAGGTACGCAAGTCTAAGCTGGAGCTGTTTGCTCATGTTAATTGAATCCACTCATGCCCGCCCATACCCCATTTACTATTTGCTTGATGTGATCTCAGGTATAGATTACTTGTTCAAGATCTTTGTTTTTCACGGTGAGTGCCCATGCAATGTGGCCTTCAGTATTTAACCGAGTCCTTTTTTTTGGCACTACTCAAAAGTGATAGTTCAATGAGAAGGGAAGGGGATGGAATGCTTAGGATATTGATCAATGTTTGATTAAGTAAATGAACCATTTATTTCTATCATAACTTGGGATACATTGATCAATCTTTGATGATGTAAATTTATCATTTATTTCTAACAGAAGTTTTGGTGTTATCATTACAAAGGCTTAGTATGCTCTGTTTTACTTCTGACATTGGTTCACATGCCAGATAATGTTGTCTCTAAACGATGATATCAGCGGTGAGGACTCTAATGCTGGCAGTATTTCTGAGTAATGACAGTAATGAAAACACTGAGGGTGATCAAACTGAAAGAATTACACGCATTCTAGGATGCATATTTAATAGAATTCACTTCAAAAGAGGTACATTCCCAAGTTTTTTTTGGATAATTCATTTCACTCTTATGTTCAATACTTTCCGTCTTGAAAATGAAAAGTCATTGTCTAGGAAAAACAATTCCCACTAATTTATGGTTAAAACAAGATATTGTTTATTTATCGACTGATTTTTTGAACTAAATTTTATGCACACAATGCTTCAATTGAATAGAATTCGCCTCCAACTTATTATTGTGCTCACTTTAACTTGTTTTCTTGATCACACCTATTCTCATCCAGATATAATATATTTCAAAACCAAACCCTGTTTCTGTACCAAGTTTTTTCCCCATGGAAATAATACACATATTATTTTTAATGATTATTACGCCCAAGGGATCATCCTTGCAGCAGGTTATAATACATAACAGCAGGAAATGATGACATCTACAAGTACGTTGAACTCCAAGATAAACAGCAACTTCAAATCAAAGTGGAATAACCTGGTATTGAACCATTCATTTTGTATTTGTAAATGCCATATTCAAATTAATTCAAATAACATTATTCATTAAATAGAATTTAATAGATACCAATAATTGCTTACTTACACCAACAATATTCACATTAACTCAAATCAAATGAAATGTCAGTTTATTGTCGTTTGAAATTTAAAATTCCAAAATAATTATGTTCATTGTTGCTTTTCAAACACCAATCACAACCCTGTAAAATCATACATCCACAACTTACTTCTTCCTTACCTACATAAGAATAAACCTTCATACAATTATAACACTCAATACTTTTTCCTTAAAGTTCATGTGCCATTGTATTTAGAGTTGATTAATCAAGTATTATAGCATTGATTTAGACTTAAATACATATTATAAGAAAATTTAATGAAATAACATATTCTTTCAACATAAAAGAGTTGAAATACCTTCAGTGCTAACTACCATAGAATCCATATATACCTTCCGAAGAATCAAGATACTGCTCTTGCTTCCTTAGATGAAAATATTCGGGTTGTATCTGATGAAACTGGAAGTGATCTCTTTATGAATCAAATTTGTCAAAGTCCATCATGCAATACTTGAGATAGAAAGATGGACACACCAGAAACTTGTTTACACAAATGTAATCATAGTGATGGATTTTTGAAATACATGCTGCAAATGTAAGTCTATATACTCATATAATTGTAGACCATTTTCATACATATGGTCAATAGAATTTCTAATATCTACAAAAAGGTACTGTATATGGGCATTTTTTCAATTGGATGTATGTGTTTCATTTTATGGAGAGTGGGCATGTGTTTTAAGACACCAGTTGAAGGGTATATTACCCAACATGTTAAAAATGTTTACATGGCACTGTGGGACCTATTTTAAAGATCCGTAATGTAGATTTTTACCTGTTTTGATCCCAATGTATTTTCATTTGGTACCGCATGAGGCATATCTGATTGGTAGAACACTTTCGAGGAGCCTCCATCACACAACAGTTCCTTAATAAATTAACTTAATGGGATGGGTGTTATTATAGAGGATTGGGAAGGTGAGGTTGAAGGCAGTGTCCAAGGACTAGACACAAGATGAACTTATCAAACAAACTTTCAAACTTCATACCCAGGAGTATTTTATTATATTTTCATTTATGCTAATAAACATTAAACCTTTATTTATATATAGATGTTCTTTGACATATAAAAAATGCTATATAATGTAAAGGGTGCATTGCAGAACCAAAACCCACACACTAACAGCTATATGATGTCTTTTTTAACATATGAAATGTGCATGTGTTGGCAAATCCTCTTACTCCGTATATAACTTTTATACTTAAACCATATGCTTCAAATACACAATAGAAATGAAAAAATAACACCATTCATCTCAATACTTTGAACATGACATGTTTTCGACCTTTACACTAGACAATCTAACACTGAGCCCAACATGCTTTATTGTTGTTAAACTGCAGTTGTTTTACTATGAAAGCATCAGGGATACCATGCAGATTTACGTGGCTTATTATCTGCACCTGTCGTGATGGGACCATTTTATTCATTTGGTGGTCGTACATCTTTACATTATCTCCTTTCAACGCTTCCAATGTCCTCTAGACAACTAAATCTAACTTTTGGAGCTCTTGGTATCTCTTACACTATGTTTGGTTCAAGGAATTTGAGAGGGAAAAGAAAAGAAAATGAGAAGGAAAATATTTTTCTTGTTTGGTTAGAAGGAAAAAGAAAAGAAAAGTGGAAGGAAAAGAAAAAGAGAAGGCAAAATGTACTAAAAGGAAGGAAAACCAAATTCCTCCTATTTTGGTGAGGAAAATGAGGGAAAACCATTTTCTTTTCTTTTCCTACTAAATTCCTTTAACCAAACATAGTGTTAAGGTCCGTCATTGTTATTTGTTGTCATTTAAACCCTTTGCATAAATGGTTCATGTGTTTTTCTTTAAGTTGGTTTTAAAATATTACAAATGCACAAACTTTTTCCTTATGTTGGTTTTAAAATATCATAAATGCACTTACTAAAAAACGGAAAAAACAAAAATGAAACGTAATCATAACTCACTTCTTATCTCTTTAAATCAACTAATGAAAGTCATCAACCTCTTTTCTCAATACGAGAAAATACAAAATAGTGGCTACTGATATGTAATGTCTACATACTGATAAATGATGATTGTAGCTATATACTGATAAAACATGATCGGGCAACTTAAACTCGCGCAACGCGCGTGCAATTGCTAGTATATATATATATATATATATATATATATATATATATATATATATATATATATATATATATATATATATATATATATATATATATATATATAAGAAAAGGATTTTTATTAATGCAAATAATAAAGTTACAGGAGCAAAGAACTACCCAAAAGTGGTAGTAGGAAGTGGAAAAAAGACAAAAAAAGAAAGAATGCAGTAAATGGAAGACACCCCTAAAAAAAAGGGACCTTGTTTTTAGGGACGTTGTCCCTTAAAACGAATGGTTTAGTTCCGGCCTCGGCCTCGCCTGCCTCGTCCTCGACCACGTTGGGGGCGATGATCGCTTCGTGTTTGGATTGTTAGTTCGGGATAGTTTCCCTTCTTGCAATTGACAAGGGCGAAACCCTCTTCATACTGATATTCTTCGCTTTCAAATTCTGGTTCAGATTGGTTCTCTGTCTTTTCTTGGTCCAAGCTGTCCTCAATTGAGTCCGGGTTATTTGATGTGCGCTCTTGGAGTTTATCATTCGTAGACCCTGTCGGAGATGTATCAACCTTAGCATCCGCCAAGGTTTCTGTTGTTTCTTGGATCCTGTCACACGATCCAAGAAAAAAAAAGGTAGAGAACCCAGGATCCAATTAACAGAAACCTTGGCGGAAAAAAGCAGTCTCAATTTTCTCCAAGTTGGATCCAAGTGGAGTTTATCATTCGTAGACCTTGTCGAATTTTCAAGTTGTACGGGTTTGTTAAGCACCATTAAGCTTAACGTTGATAGTGTAGCTCGAGAGAGTCTCTCGGGAAGCTGGACTAGCCACAAGTTGTGGTGAACCAGGGTAAAAACGGTGTGCCTCTTCTGTGCTCTTTACTTTACGCTTTTAATTTTTTATTCCTGCGTCATTTTCGTTTCAAACGCTATTCACCCCCTCTAGCGTTGAGAGGTTTATCTAACAATATGTATTTCGTATTACTTAATGGTGTTATATTGGATGATTTTTTTTACACCATAGAGGGTATGGATGCTCATTTCTTATTTTTTGTTTACTTTTTATTTTTTCCTTTTATTTGTTTTCTTTTCTTAATAAAGTTTTTTTAATTTTTTTAAAATTGGTTTTATAATGTTCTTAAATTTTAAAATTATTTTGGTTTGAAAAATTTTAACATATACTGCATCTGTACTTTTGAAATTAACAATTGTTTGTTATCTAAAATAAAATGCTAAAAACTTTTTTTGAGAACTTCATAAAATGATGAATAAAATAAGAAATAAAATAAAACAAAAAATAAAAATGAATATCCTTATTAGACATCCCAATTCTAAGGACTGTTTTAGGCAATCTGAAAATCTCTTTTTGTATGAGACGAATTTTTAGATGTTTCAATTTTTTCAATTTGTTTTTTCCTTATTTTTTATTTTTGATTTTCTTTTTGAACTTACCCAAAATATTATTCTAGAATACAAAAAGTTAAGATATTTAATTTGAGATAGATGGAGTATATTTTAATTTTTTATTTTAGTTTTTGTTTCAAACACAAATACTTTTGACTTTTTTTAAAAAATATAATACCTTCGATAAACCATTTTCAACCTTTGAACATTAATTAAATAAAATATATATTGGATATTAATTTGATAAAATAATATTTTGAAAATATTTTATATAATAAATCTAATAAAACTATATTTTATCGATATCTAATATCATTTTTATTTAATTTAAGGTCAAAATTTATGGATTTTGACCAAAAAAGTCAAAAGTGGAGAAATACTCACTGAGGGAGGAAGTAAAAAACTTAAAAGAAATTTAAAAAATTTTCTAGGAAAAGGAAACAAAGCGATAAAAAGTTATAAAGGGAAACAACAAAGCAATAAATGGGAAATAAAAAATGAGCACGTGTGCTCCCTATGATTAAGAAAATTGACACCAATGCCTCCACTTCGCTAGAAAATGACCAATTTTCCAAACACAGGGGGCACTAGGGCTATTTGGCCTCTTTTTCACTATTCACATGATCAAATTTTATTTATTTTCTTTCTTTATTTTGTTAATCATTTGATAAAATAATACTCCTTCTGCCCTAAAATTAATTTCCCAGTTTGACTTTTACAGTCAAACTTTTTAAACTTTAAATGTATATTACAGAAAAAATATATTGATTTTTCATATAAATTTAGTATCAGTAGATTCATTTTGAAACATAGTTTTTAAATATATTATTTTTAGAATATATATTCATATTAAAATGGAGATATTAATGGTCAAAATGTTGCATTGGAGACCCTAAAAAGTCAAATGAGAAGTTAGTTTTAGTATGGAGGGAGTATAATTTTGTTACATCTTGTTTTGTAGAGTATTTGGGTGTAGTTTTTAAATATGTAAATTTTATCAATTAATTCCACTTTAATTTTTAAATAAATTATTTTAAAAATAATTTAAATCAAACATCGTAAAACGAAAGAATTGATTTAAAGGGGGACTGGGGAGGAATGGACTATAGTACGGAGTACTATTCTTTTTCTTTGATAACATCACAGCAAAAGCCCAATGGCTTTAACGACGAAGCCCACGCCGCCAGTGAAAAGTCCATAGACGAGGACTGGGTGCAAGAAATCAATAGGGGGGCATAAGCCGTTTCCGCAAACCGAACAGGAAATCATAGAAAAAGTTTAAGAGAAGATGAGCGGCAGCAATGGAAGAGGAGGATTTAGGGCGAAGCTGGATCACTACATGTACAGTGGGGACAAGAAGCACGTATTCGCTGGAATGGCCGTAATCTCCGTCCTATTCGGTATTCCCTGGTACTTCATGAACAGAGGTATTCTTCTCTTCTTCTTACAAGTCTCTCGAACTCAAATTCTCATTTTCTTCGTTCTGAGAATCTAAAATAAGATTTCATTAATAATCTCTGTGCCGTCACTCTGCCAGTGCCCCCATTTATATTTGCAATGTATTTTTGTTTCCAATTGAAGCGTCGCTTATATATGAGCAGTGAGAGTTCTCATCTGGAACTGGAAAGTGATGTAGGGTTAATGCTTGAAGAGATTCTTGAATATAGAGGGAAACAAGTATCTATTTTGCACAAGTTTTCCTCGTATTTTATTTTCCTGATATCGATTGACTCCATTGCGAAACTAGGTCCTGTAAATGGAAGATTTGGAGCCAAAATGTGTCTTTTTGTTTGTTTCATTAGTTCTTTTTCTCGTATCCAGTTTACAGTTTCCCCAATTTCTGCTTGTTTTTAGCTGCAAACAATGTCTTCTTCTTGAACAATAGGGAAGAATTATGTAAGCCAATCAAAGTTGGAAGAGTTAGTGATTAAAACAATATGCCAATTTGGTTTATTGTGGCCTAGTAATTTTTGAATGACTTGTACTGAGTGTATGGCTTAATATCGTTGGTTTTTATACCCTTAGGAGTATTTCCGAGGCTGACTTATATATGAGCTCTAGGGTCAATCCCTATCACCTATGTTAGTGATTGTAGTTTGAGATTGTCATCACCACCTTAATCCCAACTATGTTGGGGCCAGTGTCATAAAAGTTAGAGTGCTATTTGGTTGTCCCAACATGGTAAATGCATGAAAAACAACATATAGGCAAAGTTATACTCTGAATGCCTCTCATGTTGCAACCTTCTTACAAAGTTATGCATTGTAATTTGGGATAATAGAAACAAACAAATGACTAGGCTAAGTACTTGCTCTGAAGCTTCTTAGACATTGCACGTGTTTGTAGTTTAGCTCGTAATAGTTTGGATGTTTCTGAGCAATTGCATAATAATGTGGAATAATCTGCATGCCCCAAGGGTTTTCCAGTTGCCAGCATAAGCTTCTTGAGTTATGCATGAGGTGCACAAGCCACAGAAAAAGTATTGTATCTACTGTGGCATCACATAAAGTTTATCACATATTCACATCAGTTATAGAGTAGGTGAGGTTTATGACACTACATAGAGTTTAGCCAGAAATATGGAACAATACCAAAACACTATTGAGATGTTTGGCCATGTAATGAGGCCCAAGCCTTGCGTGCACCTTCCCTAAACTGTCATAACTGAAAGCAAACCTAATGGTGTACCGATTTACCCCACACCACAAGGAACATTCTGCCCCTTTCCCGGGGCTGGGAATGGTGGAGGGTGATTCAGTGATGTAAATCACAGGATCCCATAGCTTACTTAGAAAGGTTGGGAAGTTAACTTGTACACATTTTTGTGTAACAAGAGTCAAGAGACCATCATAATGTCTTTGGGCAAGTTTGAACTCTTAACCTCAAGCTCAAAGCAATGCATGATCTTATTCCTCTCCTTTTTCCCACGTGAGCTACACCTTGAGGAAAACATTCCATTAGGATTTTCATGAGTAATTGTAATAATGTGGAATAATCTGCTTGCCCCAACGGTTTCTAGTTGCTAGCACAAGCTTCTTGAGTTATGCATGATGTGCACAAGCCACTGAAAAAGTATTTTATGTACTGTGGCATCACATAAAGTTTATCACATTAGTTATAGAGTACGTGAGGTTTATACAATACATAGATTTTAGCCAGAATTACGGAACTATACCAAAATGCTATTCAGATGTCTGACCATGTAATGAGGGCCAAGCCTAGCTTCCCTAAACTGTCATAACTGAAGGCAAACGTATCGGTGTACACCACACAAGGATCCTTCTGCCAATTCCCTGGTGGCTGGGGATGGTGGAGGGGACTCGGTGATGGAAATCACGCTATCCCAAATCTTACTTAGGATTTAGGAAGGTTGGGACTTGGGAAGTTAACTTGTGCACCTTTTTTTGGAACAAGAGACCATCATAATCTCCTTGGGCGAGTTTGAATTCTTAACCTCAAGCTCAAAGCAGTGCATGACCTTGTTCCTCTCATTTTCTCTGTGTGAGCTACACCTCGGGGGAAAACATTCTGTTTCCATAATACTCGTTTCGTCCCACATGTACATAACTAAAGTCACAAAATAGATTACGATGGATGACTGAATTCATTTTCAATTATATTTATTCAAATAATGGTATAAAATATTAAAATAAACTTTAAATATATGTAAAAACTACATCAAATCTGTATAAAACAAAACGTGAAAAAAATTTGACCCGTAAAAAGTGTTTGTGACTAGTTTTGGGACGTATATTGAAAACACCTATACTCCAAAAGTTAAATGCTTTTTACCTACGAGAAAGAAGGCAAATGCAGGGAGTTCATCATTCTCTTCCCGAAATTGAAGAAAACGTTTTGCCCTGATAATATAGTGTTGCATGTTTTTCAGTTTCAACTGAATGAATAAAATGTGGGTATTTGCTTTGTAGCACTTTCTTCTTGCCCTGCTTTCATCCATATGAAAGCATTGTTAAAGCAATCATTGCTGCATATTCTACCAATTCTGATAAACCTTTGTTACTCTCAAGGGTCAAAACATCAATCTCACCAAGACTACATGGACAGAGCTGATAAGGCTAGAAGTGAGAGACTATCGGCTGGTTCACCCGCTACCAAATGATCGATGCTTTATGAGTAGTTGGGGGCTTCAATGGTTTTTTATTTACTGCTTTTAACTTTTAAAGACGTTCATAGCACTGGAAATGAAAATATTGCTTATGTTTGTATGAAAATATTTTCCCTATCAAGAACTTGTAGCTTTCACTTGTTGCTTTACAATAAATTAGTTGTGGTATATTATCATGTGTCGTCTGGAGTGATGTGGAAATGTATTCTTAAGGGCATTTGCAATGGGGCTGTCAATTCCCGCCACGCTGGAAGAAGAGGAAGGCCGACCGGCAATCCTGCATTGGGGAATATCCGCCAGGCCAGATGAAGAACAGCAGCAAAAAGAAAATTACGGACCGGTGTGGGGGCTGTTACAATGGACGGCCGCCACGAAATTACGCCGGAAAATCAGCCCGGCTTTACGCCGTACCTGGGTGACCTGTGTGACGCGGGGTGGGGAGGTGTGCGGCGCGGCGGATTCCCCTCCCCATTGTAAGCGCCCTAAGTCCCGCATCTATGTTTTTCAACTTTGGGGGATGCAACTAATTTAAATCACCACAAATGACGTTTAGCAACCACAAATGAAAGTACGGAGTATTTAACAGGCAAACAACTCGATTGTCATCAAAGAAGGTACATCAGTACATGTTTTGCTTGCCAAACATAATTACATAGTAAAATTTAAATTAACAAATTAGAAGTAATAATATGAGTTTGCTTCTGTTGATATTAGATTCAAATGTCGTCACGATATCAAATTGGTTCTAATTGACGCACCTATGGTGTTCTGTTTGTAAAATTGATATTTCTTACCCTCCTAACATCTCCGGTAAACCCACCCAGCCTGATCCTCAACTGACCACCCTACCCCCCTTCAATTGAACCAACCAAGTTTAATTGATTTTAGAGTAAAAAATTTGACTTAAAAGTCAACTAGAATTGGGTGGTCCAATAGAAGGGGATGGGGTGGTCGGTTTGGGTTGGGCTAAAGGGGAGAGGGGTTACCGGGGATATTAGTGAGGATATGAACTGTTAATTTTACGAACGAGACATCATAGATGCCCCAATCGAGCCAATGTCATATTATGACATGAGCTCTCAAAGTCAAAACAAGGGAGCTCTAATAATATTCCACTTTATTACTCTCTCCGTCTTAATATAAATTGTTGTTGTTTACGAGGTTTTACTTAAGTTATTTTTGATCAATTTATTTAAAAATTGGTATGGAATTAAAAAATAAAGTTTATATATATTTAAAAAATACATTAAAAACTCTACAAAATAAGATGGGGCAAGACTATTATTCTCTCAGATGGGTTGTGGCAAAAATAAAGAGACAAATAAAACAATAGAACGGGGTCATATGCATATTTAAAAAATTAAACAACATTAATTTTACTGATAGACCAAAACCCTCCGGGTGTGTATTTTTTGGTCTATACGATATATGTATAAAATGTAGAAAGTATATAAACAAGAACATAAACAACACACTTTGACATGGAAACCAAATCGGTGAAAAGCACGGTCCTTTTTCGGCGGTACCATGCCAACGGGGATGTTTTATTATATATCGGGGGTATATTATTGATGGAGCTCAAAGCTCCATCAAGAAGGAGAAGATGAACGGAGTGAATACAATATGTGGGGAGTGTAGAAGGTCCCCCCCCTCCCTTCTTGGATTTGTGCCTCTTATATAGCTTTAAGACAGGCCTAGGGTTAGGGTTCTCTAGCAGGCTTCTCTTGTGGACTAGCCCAATATCTTTCCTTAAGCCCAGGGGGTATTATCCCATCACAAGCCCCCAATTTCTTAGTGAACACGAAGTGTTGACTGAGAAACTATAATTTATTGTCGTCTCTATGAATTTCTTCAATCGACACTTTCTTGCAGCGGACAGATCTTGACTCCTTAAGTTTCTCTTTTTTAGTACCTAAAAAAGTTAAAAGCATCTGCCTCATCGAGCGACTACAAATTCCATGAGACGGCTTCGTTGTGTTTCAAGGAGAGGACTTTTGGGGTGACCCAATCGAGGGACGCATGTTGCTCGGGGGAGACTTTAGTTGCCTCGCAAAGTAGTCGAGACCAACTTCGGGAGAGGACTTAGGAACCTCAGAAGATGAGGGATTTGGTTGCCTCGCGAGGTGATTTAAGGGCCGACCTTGGGAGACGACTTTTGTGCCTCGTAGGGCGAGGGCTTAAGTGAAGCCTTTCGAGGTGATTTAGGGCCGACCTCGGAAGGGGATTATGAGGAATATGTCATGGAGAGGTTGTTTTTGTGAGTGTTTGATTGGGTGACACTTTTGTGGGCTTAGATAGGGTTTGTCTATTGTTTTATTTGTTGCATCGATGACTTGGGAGAACGCACACACTCATCCCTGAGTGTGAACTCTTAGGACTTAACCAATTTTAGTGTTTCCGTAGTGATTTTCACAAGGTCCGCATTTGGCGTCGCCCTAAAGTTTTGAGTTCTCGTGGCGTGGCTTACCACTTTAAGAAGTGGCCAGCCTTCCTCTCAATTGGGAGGTCAAACGTCGAACTCTAATAGACTGAAGATTTTATGACGCAAAGTGTGGTGCGAGCCTCACTTTGGTCGTCTTCAATTTTTTTTGGGGTTATCCTTATTTCATGAGCAAGCGGCTCAAACAAGTCTCTCACTTGTGAGCACACCGCTCAATGATTCTCTTTTTCTTGTTCTCTCTTTTTTTCTCTCAATGTCGCTGCCGGACTCATTACAAGATGTCAATTGATCAATTGGTCTTCATAGTACAATCTTGAGAGTTCTTGATACGCCACATGGTCCATCCTTAAGAAAATGGTCTAAAAAAGTTTAGATCCAGATTTCTCTTTCTCCATGAGCAGCTTAATTAAAGAACGGCCAAACACTTTTTCAATCCCTTGTGAAATCCAATTTGAGCTTCTATAAGCCTGGACCGGGCAACCCCTTTTACCTGCTTTCCTTATCTCCAAAAACCGGATGTTTAGATTGGCTGCCCTTTAGATTTGGGGCCTTTTATGAACCGTTGCCCAAGGTCGGAAACGATGGCAAAAAGTGAAGAAGAGGGGATCGGATGAGCAGCGGTTGATGACGACGAGGTGCGCGCGCGATGGGGCACCCTATGATCTGTGTAGCTGAGAGGGAGGGCTCGATGAGCAACGGTCGAAGATGACGAAGTGCGCACGCGATGGGGCAACCTCCTATCTGTGCTCCACTGTGGAGACCTTCAGCTAGCTGCGGCGAATGAGGGTGAGATGACCGAATGCGATTTTTAGTGGTACCATCAGCAAAATATGTGTTGGCTGAAGATGTGGATGCAATCCGTCCTTTATGTCTAGTCTAGTGATGGAGGGATGATGGAAAGTGAGTGTTGCGACCTGAGGTGAGGCCGAGCAAAGGATCTGGTCCTAGGGGATGCGGAATGACAATTCTATCATTAGGGAAGATCGGGATCTAGCCACAAACTGTGGGCTGACCTCTGATATCTCCTTGCAGTGGTGGTAACTTCAGCGGGCTGCAACAGACAATGGGGACACACCTATATTTTTAGCGGCCTCGTCTGCAGCATGGAGCTCTACGAGATCCGGTCTTCAATACTGACAATTGGAGCCTTGTGACCTAGCACAGTTTCACTGTGACGCGACCCAGGTCAGTTAGCGAAGAGGCGACCAGCGACAGCCCATGGTGAGGGGACAAGCAGCGGTCAGCGAGGAGGCAACCAACAGTGCCGAGCTACAGCCACCCAACGCTACGAGTCTCAATAGTTAGGAGCGGTGAGCTTCACCAACCAATGGAGGTGATAGACCAAAACCCCCCGGGTGTGTATTTTTTGGTCTATTCGATATATGTATAAAATATAGGAAATTTATGAACAAGAGTATAGACAATAGACTTTTAACGTGGAAACCAAATCGGTGAAAACCACGGTCCTTTTTTGGCGGTACCATGCCAACGGGGATGTTTTATTATATATCGGGGGCACATTTGTACAGTATATCGGCGTGATAGCCATTGATGGAGCTCGAAGCTCCATCGAGAAGAAGATGATGAACGGAGAGAATACAATATGTGTGGAATGTAGAGGGTGGCTCCCCCTTTCTTCTTGGTTATGTGTCTCTTATATAGCACCAAGGTAGGAGCTTAGGGTTAGGGTTCCCTAGCGGGCTCCTAGCGTGGACCGGCCCAATATCTTTAATTAGGCCCAAGGGATATTATCCCATCACAAGCCCCCCAGTTTCTTAGTGAACACGAAGTGTTGACTGAGAAACTATAGCCTGTCTTTGTCTATGTGAATTTCTTCAATCGACACTCTCTTGTACCGGAATCCCTTGAAGCTTCTGGCGGCGTAGGCATAAATCTTGACTCCTTAAGCTCCTCTTCTTTTAGTACCTAAGAAAGTTAGAAACATACTTTCCTCGTCGAGCGACTACGAAGTCTATGAGATGGCTTCGTTGTGTTTCGAGGGGAGGACTTTTATGAACCTCAAAGAATGAGGGATTTGGTCGCCTCGCGAGGTGGTTTTTGGACCGACCTCGAGGGAGGGCTTTTGTGCCTCGTAGGACGGGGACTTAATTCGAGCCCCGCGAGGTGATCTAGGACCGACCTCGGGAGAGGACTTTTGTGCCTCGTAGGACGAGGGCTTAAGCCCCGCGAGGTGGTTTAGGGCCTACCTCGGGAGGGGACTTTGATGAATATCTCTTGGAGAGGTTGTATTTGTGAGGGTTTGGTTGTGTAACGCCCTGAAAACTGGTCTAGAAATTTTAACCTTCTAGTACAAAGAAAAGAGTAGTTTTTTTAAAAAAAATATTACTTTTAGTTATCTAAAAAAACAATAAATTTGGAATTTAATTTTTAAGTGATTAATTACTAGTGGAGATGAAAAAAAAATAGAATAAAGTGAAAGGGAATAAATTAGTTTTTGTTCTCTACTATCTGAATAATATAGTTTGTTCAAGTGAACCTATTTTCTTGACAAACAAATTATGTTAAAATGATGTGTGAAAAATGTGGAACTTAACGCTATAAGTTTTATATTTTTCCAAAAAATTATTTAATAATGAAAACTGTGAAATCAGACACGTAATATTAAACCAACGGAGGAAGAAACCTTTTGCTTTCCCCTTGTTGGCCACGCCTAGGATCCTCCTCCCCAACCCATTCATTGCATCTCTCATTTAAGAGAGACTTTATGTTTAAAAATTTTATTTAACTAAATTAAAAAAAAACTATCCACATACCTATGCTACCTATAAATAGAGGCCTAGGGTGACCACTTGAGGGCACTTGATCTAGAGAGTGTTGGGAGGACAACGAAGCGTGATAGCGAGGAAATACTTCAGAAGTTCTGTTCATCTACCTTTCCGTTAACAACATCGAAGATGTGCCGTTGACCCTAACCTCTAGATGTATATTTCATGTTCATATATTTTTGTGCAATGCATTTTCTTTTACCTAAATTGCGTGATGATACGTATAAAGCCTATATTCATGTATACGGAGTTTATAATAAGATGGAACTAATTATGGTATGAGTACATCTTTTTATATATATACGCATGGGATGAAAAAAAAACAAAAGCATACATGGGTACAAAAAAAACACTCTTTCTAAAACAAATGAAGGATTAAATTGTTTTTTTTTGAGACAGTAATAATATTGAAAACTTACAATTTGTTTTTTTGTTTACTCTTAATTTGCGCCGACCGATTTTATAATAATAAAAATAATAGTGAATAAAATATGTATAGATTGTTTTTTTATATACACGGCCAAAGCCTTATTAAAAGGAACAAAATATAAAATAAAATAAAACAGAGGTTACTTAAATATATAATGAACGTTCTTGTTACAAATGTAAAAGGAAAAGAAAACCCAACGTTTTTAGTCCACAAAAGTGACTCCTTTGTTGCTCATATTTTGTTACATAAAGTACTCCATATGAAGCATGTTGTTTATAATTATAAACGTGGACCAAAACGTATGTATTTTTACTTTATTCTTGGTTCTGGTTTTATTGTTATTTTTTTTCGAAAGACCGAATGCACCCATGGTTTATGAGAACAATTTTGGTGCATGTTATTCTCCTAACATGGAAAAAGACAAAAAACATTTCATTTGATTGACCAATGAACATATGGGTATCACCTTTATACATATTTTTTTTTGAGATATTTGCTATGAAACAATCGTATGTTTTTTAAAAAAGGGGCACAAAGTGTTAAATGTATTAAAAAAATGATTCATATCTGAAGACACTAAAAGTGTTTTATTTAAAGGACCTTACTAAGTTTTTGCCAAATAGCTAGGAGACGAAGTAAAATTTGAACATCGAGTTTAACGACATACCCTGACCAGGTATCGTCACGTTTTATCAAAGTGAGTCAAACCACACGTTATAAGGCCAGCTCGTATGTGTCCAAGTGGATGAGCCTACAAATAATCATACCACAACGTGCGCACGAGAACCCAACGATGACCCCGTGGGTCTAGGGTTCACTTCTGATTACTGGACCCGAGGTCACGGGGAGGTATCCGAAGTAAAACTACGTATCGACTAGTGCGGTGTTCCAGCCTAGTCACGGCTTTGTCTCTAATCTGTGGCTAACCTAGTAGGTCAAGTGTTTTCTAAATGTCCGATCCCCAAGTAACTTTTCAAAGTGAGGTTATTTACTTATTGATTTTAATTATGCAAAAAGCTCATAAAACATGAATAACTTAAAATACCCAAAAATATATTTACATGTTATATATGTCTATTGGTTATTTGCCACTCAGCTTTGCTGAGCGTGTAGTTTTTTTAACTGCACGCAGGTACTAGCAACGGTAACGACTGCTGAGGAGGAAAGCTTGGACGTGGAGGCCGTACTAAAAGAGTTCTTATTTAATATTTAATAATAAATAGAACGTCAAACTTAATTTTACTTTGTTTTCGGGCTTGAATCCAAGGTTGTATTAACTGTGGATGCATGTGTTACTTTAAGTTTACGCGGTAAACGTTTTTTATTCCCTTTAGTTATCAAAAAGAGTATATATTTTGGAAATTTTTTTTAACAAAGTAACCCGGTTTTACTAGCACTCTGGTCTGGATAACTCGGGTTATCCAGGGTGGGGTGTTACAGGTTGGGTGCCACTTTTGCGGGCTTAGATAGGCTTTGCCTATTGTTTTATTTGTTGCACCGATGACTTGGGAGAACGCACCCACTCATCCCGGGGTGTGAACTCTTAGGACTTAGCCAGTTGTAGCATTTCCCTGGTGATTTTCACACGGTTTGCTTCTGGCGTCGTCCAAAATTGTTGAGTTCTTCATGGCGTGACCCCTCAAATTTGGAGGTCACACGCCAAACTCTTATAGACTGAAGTTTTTGCAACGCAAAGCTTGGTGCAGGCCTCACTTTGGTCACCTTCAGTTTTTTTTGTTTTTGGTTTGTTTTGTTCCGCGAGCAGGTGGCTCAAACAAGTTTATCACCTGTGAGCACACCGCTCACGAGATTTCTCTTACTCCGTGAGTAATTTAATCAACGGACAACCAGAAATTTTGTAGATCCCATTTGAAATCTGATTTGGGCTTGTGGAGTGTGATCGGATCCGTGGAGCATAGATACCTGGGACAGGCAATAACTATCTTACTTGCTTTGAATTGTGTTACCCGCAGCCTCAAAGGTTTGGAACTCGACAAGTGACTGCGAAAAAGACTTCGAGGAGCAGCGGTCGGCGAAGACGAGGTGCGGCCATCCGTGGCAGCAACCTCCGATCTACGCAGCTGCGACTTCATCGACTTGTGGAAGCCAGATCTATGACGGAACCGCGGCGGTCAGCGGCAAGGCGACCCAAGGCAGTTCCCGACGAAGCTCTCGGCCTCGTAGAGTGGCTGACCTGCTTCCTTCCATCATCGACCTCATTCCTCCCGTCTAAATCAAGATGATTGTGGCCCTTTCATCTGCATCCTTCTCCAATTGCCAAAGGATGATGGTGCACGATATAACCAATCAGAAGGCCAGATTGGGCGATTTGGTCCTTCTCCTTCCTTTAGTTCTCATACTGTAATAGGGTGCACGTTTGGGAAGTATCCGCCTACCATTGAGAGTCTTGTGACCAATGGCGATAACGAGGTGAACACCAGCGGTCAGCGACTAATGTCTGTTGGGGATGGGGCGACCAGCCACCAAATAGTGGCAATTGGAGTCATGTTATCTCCCTGAGGTGATCAGCCGTACTTCTGGGCGAAACGACCAGTGGCGGTCAGCGGTGGGGTGACCAGTGGCGATCAGCTGTGCAACGACCAGCAGCGGTCCGTGGGGAGGCGACCAGCGGCGGTCAGCGGTAAGCGACCAGCGGCGGTCAGCGGCTTTTCGGGCGACCTAGCAGTTTTGAGAGGACCCACTCGCACCTCCATCGTGGTTCTAAAATCCCACAGTGTGTTGTAATCCGACAGCAATTGGAGATCCGGCCACCTGTAGGGAAGGTCGTGGCGGTCAAAGATGCGGCGACCCGCGGTGGTCAGGGATGAGGTGACCAGCAGCGGTCAGCCTTGAGGCGAGCTGGGTGGTCAACTGCAAGGTGAGCCACGACGTTCACCTATGAGGCATCCAACCACGCATACGCGGACCCACCTTGAGTCCTATGGGATCCCGGGACCCCACGGACCCCGGTGTAAGTCCATATAGGTATTAGGTTTGTAAATATTTTTAATATATAACAAACGTGTAGCAGCGAGTAAACAGAACGGTGTTTGGTTTAGTGGAAGCGTGCGTATCATTATAACTCCAGAAACCTGGGTTCGACTCCCATTCTTGTCCTCTTACTCTAGAGTTAGTTTTTTCTTTTTTTTAGATAAAGAGCATGGAGCAAAACAATGTCGTTTTGCGAGTAAATATTATAACACGTAATCCCTATTTTCTCTGCAAATTTGACCTCTCCTCCCCAATTCTCTATTTTGAATTTTTAATTTTCAACCCTAACCTTCGTCTTTTAGAGTCAGTTTTTCTTTCTTAAAAAGAGCATGGAGCAAAACGACGTCGTTTTGCGTGTAAAAATTAAAACGCGTAACCCCTATTTTTTCTGCAAATTTGACCTCTCTTCCCCAATTCTCTATTTCGAAATTTTAATTTTCAACCCTAACCTTTGGCGATTCTCCGTCTCTCTTTCCCGTCGTCCACCGGCCTTTGTTCGCCGTGCCGTCGAAGTTCAACCATTGTCCACAGCGGCAGCCCCGGCAGGTAATTAGTCTTAAAAACTTTTTTTTATTTTACTAAAATTAATTTTTATGGTAGTTTGAAGTTTGATATATGATTAGTAATATATAAATATATAATAATTTATAAATTTATTTTTTATTCATTACTTATTCATTAAAGAATCAAAGATTTTTTTTCAATAAAAAATTGATTTAGGATTGCAAGTGATAAGTATTATTGTATTAATGTTCATTTTATGTCTAATTTATGTAATTAATATTATTTTCGTATGACCTTATTTCTATGTACTCCGTATTAATTATGGTACTTTTCAAATATTATTTTTAGTTTATTGTTAAATGTTAAGATTTATGAAGTAGTTTGAGATGAGAATGGGAGGTAGAGGACCCTCATGGTTGTTGTAAAATCCTGGATCCGCCCGTACAACCACGGTTCACTTTGAAACAACCTGTGGCGCAGAGTGATAGTGCAACCCCGGTCAGTGAAGAGGCGACCAGCGGCAGCCCACCGTGAGGTGTCCAGCCGCGGTCAACGGTAAGGCAACCAGGTCGTGCAGAAATAGCAGCAGAGCACAGATCTAGACAGGGACGGGGTGGAGCAAGGCTTCCGATGTCGTCTGAGGCGTGGCGGAATGACGGCTCTAGTTTGAGGGTACCACGGGATCTGGCCGCAAGCAGTGGCGACCTCCGTTATCCCCTCGCGATAGTGGCCGTTCCAGCGACCCCAGGGTGATCTCGGCGTCCTACCCGCATCTCAATGTCGATCCAAAACCCTGCTGCCAGCACGCGATGCAAACACAGATCGAAGATGGTTGTAGATCTGTTCTGATGGGGATGTCTTGATTGGTGAGATCGTGGGCAGATTCAAAATTCCAAGACCCCCAAATTATCTTTCTCACCCTCCTATAATGCCGTGGTCAAACAAAACCCAAATTTTTTCTTTGCCATGTATTCTGCCCACGAGCCAAGCATTTGAAAAATAATGGGAGGATTTTACACTTGAGCACAAAAACTCTCCTCTCAATGAAAGCACTATTTGATAGACCAAAACCCCCCGGGTGTGTATTTTTTGGTCTATTCGATATATGTATAAAATATAGAAAATTTATGAACAAGAGTATAGACAATAGACTTTTAACGTGGAAACCAAATCGGTGAGAACCACGGGCCTTTTTTGGCGGTACCATGCCAACGGGGATGTTTTATTATATATCGGGGGCATATTTGTACAGTATATCGGCGTGATAGCCATTGATGGAGCTCGAAGCTCCATCGAGAAGAAGATGATGAACGGAGAGAATACAATATGTGTGGAATGTAGAGGGTGACTCCCCCTTCTTGGTTATGTGTCTCTTATATAGCATCAAGGTAGGAGCTTAGGGTTAGGGTTCCCTAGCGGGCTCCTAGTGTGGACCGGCCCAATATCTTTAATTAGGCCCAAGGGATATTATCCCATCAGGAGGCAAGCCGGGAGTGCGGTCTAAGACGATGACAAGAGCATCCGCGGAAACATGTCAGTGGTGGCGGATCCCTCGATCTATTTCTTTTTTTATCTCTTACCTTGGAATTGGGTGTATGTTCGAGAAATACCCACCCTCTATTGAACTGTCGTGATGACATAGTGATCAGCGGCGGTCAGCCGCAGGGCAACCAGCTTTAGTGGGTTAGTAGTGATGGGCCGATACCCAATGGGTGGCCCAAACGCCTTACCCGGAAGACGCTGGGTCACACGGGCTGAGGAGAATTAAATCTGGGTCGGCCCAAGACGCTGGGCCCGAACCAACCTAATTCAAGAGACAGCTGGAAGAGTCAATCCACGGGAGGAGATTCAGCCGAAGGCGGGGACGTAGCCGAAGAAATTGGATCGCGCCACTGACGGATTAGACTCCTTTGATTACGAATTACCTTAACTATCCAAGAAACCATGTATAAATAGAGGAGACCCGAATGGGGATCCTCAAGCTCAATCAAGCTAATAACACATACAATTCTCGAGTTCTTGTTCTTATTAATTTCTTGTGATCCATTCCACTAAATTGGATCAACTGGTTGATTTATTGTCCATCATATTGGTGCTTTCACTGAGAGCTCGAGAAACACACTCAGGAAAAACCTTCCAAAAGAACAATGGTGCAAACCCGTAGCAACGCAAACCAAGTCACTGGAAATCCCCCTCAGGTCGAGAGTAGTGCCAGCGGAGGTAGGCATCCTCCCATTAGTGTGATGGAGGTGGAGGCCCTCATCCAGCGGTTCGGGATTACTGCTGAGCAACTCAAGAAGGTATTGGCGGTCCTGACCCCGTATCGCGAAATTTTGGTGGAAGATGCGACTGGGAACTAGCCGGAGGGAAAGCCGGGCCCGAGGGCTCCGGGGGGAAAAAGAAGAAGAAAGTCAGGCGGTCCAAGAAGAAGAAGGCTACCAAGCCTAACGGGAAGGCGATGGTGGATGATGATCTGTCCAGATTGGACGAGGAAGATGAATCGTCCTCCTTCGAGTGCGCGTCAGCCTTCGATCAACTAAGGGATCCCAAACTAAAGAAGCCACGAACCTCTGTGTTCGATCAGTTGCAGGATACTCGGTCGGCTGAGAAGAACGACCTGAGGGAGAAGCTTAAGGAAGGGAGAGAAGGAGCGGCGTAAGGCGATCGAAGACAAGGAGGCGATCGAGTTGTGGAGGATGTATGATCGCCTGGAGAAGCGGGTGGACGCCCAAAACCCGCACCGCCAGGCGGTCTTCAGTGAGGTAACCCCCTTCTCCAGAAGGGTGATGTCTTGTCCTCTCCCGGACAACTTCAAGACCCCACAGATCAAGGCGTACAATGGGACGACCGATCCCCAAGACCATCTCGTTCGCTTCGGGGCGAACGTGGTTATGTACGCCTACCCCGAAGAGATCAAATGCCGAAGCTTCCTAGAAACGCTGGAAGGGCAGGCATGCGAGTGGTTCCATAAGTTGCCCAAAGGATCGATTGACAAGTGGAGCGACCTGGCCCACAAATTCCTGGAGCACTTTGTGTCCAGCCAAAGACAGAAGCTCCCCTTCTCACACTTGCTTAACGTGAAGATCCGGAAGGGGAAGCAGCTCCGGGAATTCATCAATAGATGGGAGAAGGAAGCTAGGGACGTCCAAGGGGCGGATGACTAGGCCTTGATTGCGATGCTCGAGGCGGCACTCCCCCAAGGGGATGTGCGCAAGGAGCTGCGACGAAATCTACTCCCCACCTATCAAGAAATGCTAGCCAGAGCGAAATACTTGGCGATGGAGGAAGAAGATGACGAGCCGCCCGTCCAGAAGGAGAAGAAAAGCGGATAGCCCGCAGGAGAAGGAAGGAAAAGGAAAGATTTTGGTAGGGGACCAAACCCTACAGGATATCAGGCGAGCAGACCGCCTGTCCACACGGTCCAGTCTTTACTGGCCCCTCCTCGCAGTCGGGAGAATTATAGCGTCCAAGACGCACCCAAGTACTGTGAGTACCACCGTAACAGCACCCACAATACGTCGGAGTGCGTTACGCTGAAGAAGGAGATGGACCAGCTGATCGCTAGGGGGCTGCCTCCTCGACTGGAGTGGCAGGCACCGGGGAACAGAACATGGAGGAGACCACCAGCCGCCGCCACGACAATCACCACCGGGGAGGGGCAGGAGGATGGAAGGCGACATCTAGAGAGAGATTGTGAAGACCTGGATGAGGAAGAAGAACAAAACTGCCGGAACTTGGGATGTCGGTTCATTATGGGTGGAAACACCGGAGGGGACTCGGCGTCCTCACGAAGGAAATGGAAGAATATGATCCACCTGGCTGAGGTACAGATGCCACCGCTGCCCAAGCGGAAGAAGAAGGAACCCTTGATCTTCACAGATGAAGATTACCCGCCAGTCCTTAGTCCCCATCGGGATGCACTGGTGGTGAAGGTGGAGATCAACAATGTGGTCGTCCATCGCACGCTGGTCGATACCGGTAGCTCAGTCAACATCATGTATAGCAATACTTGCAAAGAATTGGGCTTATCCCGAGGAGATCTTAAGCCAATCTGCACCCCACTATCGGGATTCACAAGGGACACCATTGAAGCGGAGGGAACCATCACAGTGAAGGCTGGGGTAGGAGATGGAACCCACCGACTTTGGCTCGACATGGAATTTATGGTAGTGCAGCTCGATTGTGCACACCATTTAATCCTAGGGCAACCGGGTCTGGAGGACTTGGAGTGCGTAATCTCTCCTGTGTATGAAGTTTGTCACCCCTACTGGGGTGGGAGTGGCAAGAGGAAATCAGAGTTTGTCTCAGTCGTGCTATGTTAGGGCGACCAAGAGCCAGGCACGGTTCAACGAAAATGTCAGCACGATCTGTGCCGCAATACAGAAGGAAGAGGGGCGATCGAGGGCGGAGCCGGCAGAGGAAGTAGAGGATGTGGCCCTGGATCCAGCAAAGCCGGAGCAAAAAGTAAAGGTAGGTAAGACCCTGACGCCTGGACTGAAGGAACGGCTGGTGAGTATCCTTCAATCGTTCAAATTGCTATTTGCCTGGGGACCTGGGGATATGCCCGGGGTCGACCCACGAATCATTTGCCATAGGTTGGCGGTAGATCCGACCCACAAGCCGATCAAGCAGAAGAAGCGCTTCCTCTCCTCGAAAAGGAGAGATTTCGTCACAAAGGAGGTAACCACCTTGCAATCCATCGGGCACATCCGGGAAGTCTGCTACCCGGAGTGGTTGGCAAACATAGTCCTCACACCCAAAGGGAATACCTGGCGGATGTGCGTCGATTACACCGACCTAAACAAGGCTTGCCCGATGGACCCGTTCCCTCTTCCCAACATTGACCCCAGTTGGTGGACGAAATGGCAACATGTGAGTTAATGAGCTTTATGGATGCTTTTAGCGAGTACCATCAAATCAGGATGTCTATGGCAGACGAGGAAAAGACCTCCTTCATCACCCCCAATGGGGTATATTGTTATAAGGTAATGCCATTCGGCCTGAAAAACGCTAGCGCGACCTATGCACGAATGGTCAATAAGTTGTTCGCACCGGTATAAGGAGGTTGTATGGAGGCGTATGTAGATGACATGATTGTCAAGTCAAAGCAGATGGTGTCTCATGCGCAATATTTAGAAAGGGTGTTTAGGATCATGCAGAAGTACCAGCTTCGCCTCAACCCGAAGAAGTGCACGTTTGGGGTGTAAGGGGGCAAGTTCTTGGGACATATGTTCAGTTGGAGGGGCATTGAGCCCAACCCAGAGAAAGTGAAGGCGATTTTGGAAATGGAATCTCCGTGGAATGTAAAAGAAGTCCAGCAACTAACTGGAAGGATCGCCGCTCTCAGGCGCTTTTTTTCAAAAATAGCTAATAGAGCGGCTCCATTCTTCTAGACTATAAAGAAAAGCAGAGGTTTCATCTGGACCAAGGAGTGTTAGAGGTCCTTTGAATAGTTAAAGGCGTATCTCCTCTCGCCATTAGTACTTTCGAAGCCAGATCCTAGAGAGACCCTGTTCCTATACTTGGGGATCTCTCCTCGAGCTGTGAGCTCGGTGTTGGAATGCATGAGTTCAACCCTTTCTGTGTTGTTAAGTGTTGACTCACAGGTTTTGATAATTGACAAACACAATTTATTCAAGTCAAGATCAAAGTGCTACAACGACAAACACGAAGACTTGAAGTGCCATTCCTTGAAATATTCAAGAAGGTGCACATGATTTTATTAGAGTCCGAGACGCGTTCGGAGCGCCTAACGGAGGACTCGGAGGACTAGAAGATTTCCGAAGACTTTTTATTTATTTGAGTCGTAGGAATATTTGTAAGGATGACAAAAATATCTTCTCTCCAAAATTATTTTTATGAGAGTTAAAATAAAAATTATATTTATTTTTGGAGTCAGTTGAAAAATCATTTTAACTGTTCAAAATAGTTTTATTGAGTCAGTCACAAAAGGTGTGCCAAACATTTATCAAATATTTATTTTGATAATATAAAACATTTTTGGTAAGCAAAAATATTTTATTCAAATATTTTTCGTGTACATCGTTTGACACACAAAATATTTTTGGAACTCATTTTCTACACCAAAAATATTTTTTTGTAATTCAAATTTTGAATTTGAATTATGATGGTTGATTGGGGAGCCTTTTGATATGATTTCCTTGTCCAAAACAAAGCATTTAACTCCAAACATCCATCCCACTCGCACACATGCTTTGGGTCCTCGTGTTTGGGCTCTGTCCGTCATTGGATCGATCCTTTCTTGTGGATCAATCATATTGCTTTGCGCTCAGGGATTGGGATCGATCCATCTCCATGGATCGATCCGCTGAAGGCTTGCGAAAATCCGTCTCATGGTTTTTGGTTCCAGAGGATCGATCCCCAGCCTTGGATCGATCCCCCGAAGCTTTGACAGAAATTTATTTTCGTTGGCTTACTCCAGGTGATCGATCCTAAGCCCTGGATCGATCCCCAACGGTCCAATTCTGTCAAAATCAGCCTTCCCCACTTCCAACGGATTTATTTATTTTTCATCTATTTAAACATCATCGGCATCATCGGCACCGGACGGGGCTGATTTTCCGGTGAGGAAGTCGCCGAGAGAGAAGCGACGCACCAAGAGTAGGAATAGGCGACTCCACTTTTTGTAGTTCGGTTCCGTGAAACTCAATAGCACCGGGACATGAAGCTTCACGTTGGAAATTGTCGTGAATGCCAAGTGAGGAGTGGAGGCGGAGGAGGAGGGTTTGGCGGAGGCTGTCTCTTTCTCGGACATGGCGGCGACTGGAGATGGTTGCTATTGTGGAGAGACGGCAGAGCAGAGAGGAGAGAAGGACGCTGGTGTTGGCGCCGCAGAGAGAGGAGAAGAACGCCGGTGCAGGAGGACGCCGAGTGTGGCAGTTGGCGTTAGGTTGTGGTGGTGCGGCGGATTGCTACGCACGAGAGAGAAGAAAAAGTTTTAGGGTTCAGGAAGGAGGCTCTGATACCATGAAGAAGAATTATTTTCTCCATTCATCTTGTGGAGTCAAGCCCCGTATATATACAAAAACATAAGTCTCCTAACTATGGAAGGATATAAACAAGGAAACTCTATACAAAGGAACCTACCAAATATAAAGACATTAAATATACAATAATATATTTAACAATCATAAACCTTGAATTTGTTGTTAAAACTTCGAATTGATGCCTCTAAAATGATCTACGAACCTTGGAGAACATTTCTATATAGTTTTATTGAAGTTTGGTGACCAAAAATGGAACTTGAGAAAAATGGGTTAGAGGTTGAAGATGATGAATAGTGAACCTTCAATTTCCTGCATTTTTCAATGGAACGGACGACCGTTCGGACCAACGGTCGACCGTTACGAACATTTTTAAGCCCAAAAATGCTATTTTTGAAGCTATAAAATCCTATTTTTTATATATACCAATCAATTATGATCAATATAAAAATAATTGTTAAAAATAAAAATGATGTTTGACAAATAAAGTTTTATGTGATGTATGACGGTAAGCTAAGGTGTTAACACTCGATGCTAGGCCGCTATTTGTTATTAGATATTGTGATGATTATTATTGATGTTGTTTATGATTAGACTTTGATGAATATTATTATTAAAATAAAAATTACGGATGACTAAATCATGATTTAAAGAAAATGAATATATTGATGATTATGAAAATGATGTATATTGTTAAGGATATCTAGAAGAACTCTAAGATATACCCACTTAGAAAATTGATGATGATTATTAAGGATATCTAGAAGAACTCTAAGATATACCTCCTTGACCAATTCATAATTCGGGGTTAAAACGTACGTACGGGATCCAGACCAGATATCACCCACCCGACAGATCACTGTTCGGTTTGGTACGTAATCCACATGACTCTTAGGGTGGATTATCGATTCTTGTGTTCTGCATTAAACTATTTATAGTTTAAGGGCCTGGTTAGAAATATTGCCTTAGACTAGAGATAGCTAAGAGCTTGTATAAAAATGATTTGGCCTTAGATTAAGAATAATTTAAGAGCACTGATGAAATATTGAATATTGAATATATCATGAAATGACTTAAAATAAAATATTGTGAATATCATGAATAATGTATGCTTGAAATATGTATTGTGTGCATGATATCAAATGGTTAATTATGAATTGAGATTCAATTTATATGGATGTTCGATGCATTAGATATGCTTACTCAGCTTTACCGCTGAGCGTGTAGTGTGTTTTATTTGCTACACGCAGGTCAATAGAATGATGTGACATGATCCTGGAGGCAGACGGAGGCGAGATAGTTGGAATGGATGTGATGGTTTTGAATTAAAGAATATAAATAAATTATGCTTGTGGTTATGATTTGTTAAGCTTCCGCAATATTGAAAACTCCGTACTGTTTATATTATGAAAAATATTATTATGATAAATAAAAGTGTTTGAAATGTTTTAAATGTTTACGAATACCAAGTTTATACTTTAGTCCGCCAAAAGGGGCTGCAGACCTGGACAGATTGGGGTGTTACCGTTTGATATCAGAGCAAATGGTTTTAAATCTGATCTTCGGATCAAAATTTGTATTTAAAAAAATTATTTATTGTATATATACATATATATATTTGGACTTAAAAAAAATGTCAATCACATCCACGACTCTCGCATCCCTCTGCTTCAGGAAAGGTATATGAGTTTACTTAGTAAATATTGACTTGTTAAAATTCTCATTTGATAACAATTATTAGTACTGAAATTATATCGAGCATAGACTCAAGTCAAATTTTCGTACTCGGTGAAGAAACGAAAGAGTAAACGAAAAACATATGACCCTCTGATTAACATACGCATCGCATCGCGAATAACGAAACTGATCTGTATCGAAAGGTCACATGGAAGTGAGACGACTTTGAAGAAACGATTAGTGTTGATTATGTTGAACAACATATGTGAAGCCATTGTAAAAGATCCTCATGTGGACTCAAGACGATCTGATCGCTGATTCAAACACGAACGTTTAGAATCAATAAACTCTGTTATCTAGGGTATCCCATTTTGATGTCTAAATGAGATGCAAATATTCGATTATATCATATGAATCGAAATCGTTCCTAATGCAACAATTCTTTGCAAAACCTCGTTGAAAAACCATACAAGGAAATTGATAATTATCCTTAGTATGCATTGGCTGACTAAACATCGTTGCTGTTGTCAACTTGTGATGAAGAATTCCTCAACTGAAGACCAATGATGGTAACCTTATAGAGGTGAAAGCAAAGCTGATTTCTGAACCGACCAAGTTCATCTCGAATATATATACGAAAACATCTCAAGTGTGAAGTCTATTCGTGCGATACCCAAAAAGAAATATCTGAACTGAAGGAACGTACCGAAAGTATGTCACCTCTCTGATATGAAATGTCTAATATTTCACTATTCCACGAAATTGAATTCTCTGTCAATCTTGATCCTAGAAAGGACCAATATTTGTAACTCTGTATTGAACGTGTTTCCATCAATGACTTCTTGACAAAGAATCATCTGATCAACTGTTTCCTCCTTGGGAGAATACCTGTTTTGTTCATACGCGAATGAAGAAGGATTAATGAGATTCTATATCAACTACTGTTAGTTGAACAATTCGTTATCCTTTACCTCGTATCATGACTTATTTGATCACCTTAGAGAATTCATAGTATTCTCTAAGGTTGACTTACGGTCAAGATACTCAGAAATCCCTGTTAAGAAACTTGAACAAACTAACGATCAAGAATTGCTATCCTTTACTATGAACTGACGACTTATTCGGTCAAATTCAAATAACCTGCTTGTTAGAAGCTATAGACCGCTCAACCTTGTTGAATGAACTGATGCTTTGTTATGAAGCGATTAATGACCTAATTGCTTATCACTGAAAACGTCAATGTAGTCTAATCGAAATAATGAAGTAATTGACTCGTTCGACATGAAAGATTGTGACGTGATGACGATATAAAAACAAGAAGTGAAACAGTGACACCAAGAGTGAAAAACTAAAGAATGAAGAAAATGTAAATGCATTGACCATGCAGCTTAGATTGATAATTATGGCTAACTCGTAATGTTCGTGGACGATATGAATGCAACTTGGATTACAAAGGAAATGTTAGAGATGCAATTCTAAGTCTAATCTTCCAGGATTTACAAAGTTGTCATAACTAGCTCTAGGATCCGGGAAAGCTTTAGCAAACTCTAGTTTGTCTAAAAGCTCGTCAACAAAGAAAGAAGAAATAAAAAGTTTCCTCTGACTGGAAGCCATGAAATTCTGCCTCACCGCATCGTCTAGAAATTTGAGTAGGTTATTGAAATAACCGTCAATGTTCAAGAGACCAATGGGTCTATTGTGTAACCCTTCAGAAGCCCATGAGATCAAGGTGAACAAACCTTCCATAGTGTCAACTCCTCTGGGAAGAATGATGAAAGCTTCCACGGCATGATTCATCTCAAAATATTTGTAGTAATTGCTGGAAACTGTGTGCTCTACGCCGTATGTAGGTCCGTAGACCCGTCGTGTTGCTATGTACCCAGGAATGAAACCTCTAACGAGACCACCATTGGTAAAGACTGTTGAAGCAACAGCTCCTTGTAGGCCAACATTGCCTCCTCCATAAGCAAGACTAATTCTTCGCCTTATCAATTCTCTTCCTAAATTTACTGCAGTAGCCATAAACTTTGGATTTCTACCAAGAGAATGACT